GCATGGCCAAGTTTACTGGGTATTAGCGCGTGTTTCGGGGTCGAAAAGCTTTGCTATGCTTTATTCGTATGTTTGCAGTACAACAACTGAAGCTCGCTTGAATGCAAAAGATGAGCACTGGGCTTCATATTGGGCACGGAGCGCCTAACTTCGCTAGCATCCTGCGAAGTGTGTTCTCAGTATCTACGTGAGCGGTCTCTAGCTTCTGCATTCTTGCTATTATGTCGGCTGCTCTTTCTGAAAGTCCGAGAAGGGCATTCTTCTTCTCAGTATCTGTCTGGTCGGCCTTTAGCTTCTCCATTATTGCCTCTATGTATGCTGCTTTTTCTGAAAGCGTGATGAGGCCGTTGTTCTTCTCAATGTCTACTTCGACGGCCTCTAGTTTCTCCATCATTGCTTTTAAATCTGTTTTGCTCCCTGAAAGCTCCAGGGCATTCTCTTGTTGAGCTAGTTGGCCTAATAATAGGCGCACGGTCTGGACTATAGCTTGATTGCCAACCAAGTCTTCAAACTTACTTTGCCGCAATACCCGGTTTTGTGCATTTCTGGCTGCGAGGTTATACTCACGGTTCAGTTTCTCCACGCTGAGTCTGTTTTCAGTAGCATTGGTAGTAAAGTAAGACGTCCGACGACCATCTCTCGTCACTCGTATTACATCTGCGGAGACTTGAATGCAGGGCGTGCTTGTAGATGATTGAGGTGGCAAGTTCATGACGAAGACTACTCAAATTTTGGCCTGAGCTGGAGTAGAAACTTTACCGTTACACACCACGGCCAAGGGGAATCAGTTCCTTTTATAGCTTGGAAGAGTTCAAGGAGGCACTGGCACGGTATAAGTGTTTCTGTTAGGGCGGGGGAAAACTCTTCGGTAGTACTGAGGGTGAAAAACGAGTGGAGGGGGTGATTATGAGGGTGCTTTGAGATATTGTTAGTACAAAGGCTGTATGGTCCATGTCGTGGCCGGAGTGTATTTACATGTCCCCACGACTTTCACCCTCAGCGCTAGTACAAAGCGAAAATAATGTTGAGGCCGACATAGACTGTTACGAGGTTGCCTAGAAGAAGTCTGGGAATTGCGGTGCTGTCGAAGTACAATGCACCACCAGCATGGACTTCGAAATTATCCGGGGAGGGCGTCGCGATATGACCATTCTTCACATGGGACAGCCATTGACATTTAGTGAAAAGGGCATCGGAAAACTGATGGGACCTAGGGCGTTGACCCTGGTTTTTTTAACTTGTCCCATTCTTGTCAAATTTATGCGACATATCACATCAGCTGCTTGATGAAGCGCGCGCCAAAATCATGCGACCAGTTTGTCGGCCGAATTATTCAGGCCTTTTTGACAAACAGGGATGCTCGGCTTTGTGATCTTCCGATTGCTCAAGTCTTGTTACCTGGCTGCCTGATGTGGAGAGAAGAAGTTCAAGGCGTAGATGCAACAGTTCATTGATCAATCTCTTAGGGTGCCCGATGCGCGACCCCTAAAAAGCCCCGGACTTGGACCTTCCTGCCTGACAATCTCACTGGCCGATTGTTCTGAAGTCGTTCATGCAACGTACTCCGTGCAGCAAGCATGCAATATTGGGCGGCTGTCACCCCTTTGCTTCGTAGCATGCATTTATGTTCTGCAAACACGCATATTTCGTGGCCTTTTTGGTTGACAAAGGTGAATACACTGCAGTCCAGCACTTCAAGCCTGTCTCTCTAAACGTAGAGGGACAGCGCCCCTCACCCTTGCGCAAAGCGTTGTACGCAATTGGCCATGAGCCATTGGCTAGGGATTCAAACCCGTCTCGTTCGGTGAGATTGTGTCCGTAACGGGTATGCTCTTATCAGCCCCCGAGCTGGAGCATGCACGAAGGCGTTAACTTGAACTAAAATTGGGAGCAGGTTTAAACACGAAGTTAGTCTGGGGAAAAGCGAAGATGGTAGAGACGCGTGAATATGGATGACCCGCTACAAACAGTTCATCGCAGAAAACTCAGTGGTGGCGGTAACGATGACGGTGACAGTGGCGGCGACGATGATGGTGGTGGGAGAAAGCGATGACGGTGAAAACAGCCGAACTGATGGTGTAAGGCCATGAACCCAGTACAGAAGGGTCAGTGAAGACAGCTCAGTGAAGATGGCTGGCTCAGTGCAGACGGCGCAGTACAGCCGGCCCAGTGTAGTGCAGTGGCTGACTGAACGAGGTAGACACCATGAGAGGCTTGGTTGAGGCACATGGTCCAATGAGCATGGTTCGTTATGTAAGCTCAGTAAGCACACCTCAGTGAACACTGACAAGAAGTAAGATGGGATACGCGAAGACCCCAGTATATACCCGCGGCTCAACTCTTTCCACTAGGAATGGTCAGCACAGATCCGGGCTTTCTTGCATGTCCATGGGCGACGACGAGCAAGGACTACAGTAGCTACAAAAATTGCAGATGCCAGGTCCGTTTCCATACCCCAGGTCTTCTCTACCTCTCCGAGTCGGGGAGCGTATTCGCTTTTCAGCTGTCTTACCCCAGACGTCCAGTCTCTCCTTTATTTCTGCTTCCTTGTCTCTGTGTTTTGCTGAGAGTTCGAGAATCGCATTGTGTTCTTGAGCTAACTTTTGTAAAGTCGAGGTCGAGGCATCGGCTGCAGGTTCGACCAGTTTGTCGGCCGAATTATTCAGGCCTTTTTGACAAACAGGGATGCTCGGCTTTGTGATCTTCCGATTGCTCAAGTCTTGTTACCTGGCTGCCTGATGTGGAGAGAAGAAGTTCAAGGCGTAGATGCAACAGTTCATTGATCAATCTCTTAGGGTGCCCGATGCGCGACCCCTAAAAAGCCCCGGACTTGGACCTTCCTGCCTGACAATCTCACTGGCCGATTGTTCTGAAGTCGTTCATGCAACGTACTCCGTGCAGCAAGCATGCAATATTGGGCGGCTGTCACCCCTTTGCTTCGTAGCATGCATTTATGTTCTGCAAACACGCATATTTCGTGGCCTTTTTGGTTGACAAAGGTGAATACACTGCAGTCCAGCACTTCAAGCCTGTCTCTCTAAACGTAGAGGGACAGCGCCCCTCACCCTTGCGCAAAGCGTTGTACGCAATTGGCCATGAGCCATTGGCTAGGGATTCAAACCCGTCTCGTTCGGTGAGATTGTGTCCGTAACGGGTATGCTCTTATCAGCCCCCGAGCTGGAGCATGCACGAAGGCGTTAACTTGAACTAAAATTGGGAGCAGGTTTAAACACGAAGTTAGTCTGGGGATAAGCGAAGATGGTAGAGACGCGTGAATATGGATGACCCGCTACAAACAGTTCATCGCAGAAAACTCAGTGGTGGCGGTAACGATGACGGTGACAGTGGCGGCGACGATGATGGTGGGAGAAAGCGATGACGGTGAAAACAGCCGAACTGATGGTGTAAGGCCATGAACCCAGTACAGAAGGGTCAGTGAAGACAGCTCAGTGAAGATGGCTGGCTCAGTGCAGACGGCGCAGTACAGCCGGCCCAGTGTAGTGCAGTGGCTGACTGAACGAGGTAGACACCATGAGAGGCTTGGTTGAGGCACATGGTCCAATGAGCATGGTTCGTTATGTAAGCTCAGTAAGCACACCTCAGTGAACACTGACAAGAAGTAAGATGGGATACGCGAAGATCCCAGTAAATACCCGCGGCTCAACTCTTTCCACTAGAAATGGCCAGCACAGATCCGGGGGCTTTCTTGCATGTCCATGGGCGACGACGAGCAAGGACTACAGTAGCTACAAAAATTGCACATGACAGGTCGGTTTCCATACCCCAGGTCTTCTTTACCTCTCCGGGTCGGGGGGCGTATTCGATGCCTTTTCAGCTGTCTTACTCTAGACGTCCAGTCCCTCCTTTATTTCTGCTTCCTTGTCTCTGTGTTTTGCTGAGAGTTCGAGAATCGCATTGTGTTCTTGAGCTAACTTTTGTAAAGTCGAGGTCGAGGCATCGGCTGCAGGTTTCATTTTTTTTTAGCAAGCCTGCACGCCCACGCCTCTTTAACTCTCGGTTTCGTGCCACTCGGGTGGCGAGCTTGTACTCCCTGGCCAATTTCTCCAAACTTAGTCTTTCCCCATTCCTGCTGGTAGTAAAGTATGGCATTCGACGACCGTCTCTCGTCACCCTCATTACGTCTACGGGGACCTGGATGCAAGGTGTGTTCGTGGATGATTGAGGTTTCATTTGCGGGAAGAAGATCAATCATCATCAAGAAATGACCTGAACTGGGGCTGGATAACTTGTCCTTACGCACTGGTGACCATAGGGGGACCAGTTTCTGTTCATAGCCTCTCGACGGTTTCACTGAGAATCCCGACGCAGCGTCGACGTTCTCTCTAGAGCCAAGAGGGAAACTTGGCGGCAATGCTGCAGGTGACGAAAAAAAAGAGTGCAAGGCTGATTACGAGGCTGCTTTGAGATGTTTGTTGGTCCTACATTTGGCCCGTCCAGTCCAGGGTGGGTGTGCCCCATATCATTGAGAACGTCTATCTACATCCCTGCGATTCTCGCGTAAGTAATGTGAAGTTAGCAACGAATCTCTGTAGGTGCTGCCTCCCCGGCCGCCTACAAGAATTCTGATAACTTCAGCCTGCTTCTGAAGTACAGTGTACCTGGATGGACTCGGGCATCATCCGGGTTGCAGCGAATGGACGATTCCTCACAAACAAGCGCCAGCCATGGCACACCCGTTGACATTTACTAACAAGGGGCTCGGGGTGGGGAATGGGTCAATAACGAGACCTTGCGTAAACGAGTCTAGATTTTGTGATATATCACTTCGTGTGATTGTCCTCATGATCTTGCTGGTTTGCTTGGTCGGGGTGACGGGCTGGGAGGTTACGTGTGGGAGAATGGACAACGCCGAGTAGTGGGCGATGGCCAGTGGCTCAGCGTTGAGGATCCCTTGGGTTGGATAGCCTCCGATTGGTCAATAAAGCACTAGGGGGGCAGGCGTCATCACCCGCTGTTAACTGACGAACTACCCGAGACGGATGTTAAATGCATGGCAACAGTTAGCCCTCCTCCGAACAGCGGCATGGGCGAAGGAGGTCGAACGACCAAGGCTTATAGCACGCCGCTTCAATGATAACATCCCGACCGAAGCTGGGGGCGAAAGACCACCTAAAGAAACCGCCGCTGTAGAATTCCAGCGCTGGCTTGAGGACAAACCCCCAGGCTATGTCGTCTTCAGTGATGGCTCCAAGACAGAAAGAGATACCGCAGGGTATGGATACGCAGTATTCCACAACGGACGCCTCGCTGATTGGGGCTTTGGCCAGCTTGGCCGCAGAGAAGTCTTTGACGCGGAAATTCACGGCGCTCTCGAAGGCCTCCAATGCGCTGTACTCGCCAACTTCACCAACGAACCAATCACGGTCTGTATGGACAACACCTCTGTCATCGACTGCATCGGAGCAACAGCACCAAACTCCTCACAGGCCTGTTTCAGAGCCTTTCAGAAGATAGGAGACAAATATCCATACCAGGTATCTGTTAAATGGTGCCCAGGACATAGCAACATCTTCGGAAACGAGCTGGCAGACCTTCTCGCCAAGCAAGGAGGCAATCTCCCAGTCCCAGAGCACCTCCCCTCAGTCTCCTACCGCAGGAGACAGGTCAAGGGTCAGATAGCCGTAGACTACCAGCAATGGTGGCAAGGAGTGGAGAGAGCAGGTTACTCGTCGCTCGGCCTGACCGCCGAGCTACGGAAGCTCCCTGAACTCGCCCTCCCACGCCGTCTTTTGGGATATCTACTCGCTGCCCGATCACAGCACGGTGACTTTGCGGACTACCACGAAAGATTTCACCCAGGCCAGGCGACCCTGGAGTGCCCCTGCGGGCGCCAGAAGTCGCCTACCCATCTCTTCTACTGCAGGAAAATCCCTCGTCATCTCCGGGCTCGGCTGACACCCGACCCTGAAGCGGCGATAGGACGGTTCCTCGGTAGATCCTACAAGGTTTACCTGCGCATTGCGGACTTCTATTACACGAAGATCAACAAGCGCTACTAAACCGAGTAGCCTGTACAAGCCTGGCGTGCTTTGTACTAGTATTCAGCCCGAGTAGTTATCGCTACTCGTTCAGCAACACGCTTTCCCTTTGTTGAGGCATATGCCACTGATATTAGGGCTCTCCCCGGTCCCCACGAAAAGACCCGACGCAATTGACTGCGAGGGAATACGTCCGCGGATGGAAAACCCGAGCAAGCATCGTGATCCCGCTGACGGGTATCAATACTAGCAGTAAAACAGCCGTTGGGCAAACACCTGCTATAGTTGGAGGAATTTACATAAAGAACTGCTTAAGGGGCTAACCGTGAGAGCATGGACGCGACGACTCCGCGGTCGCGTTCTGCGGGGCTTACTACTAAGTGGTGTTATGTAATCACTGTTGAAGACTAGCTAGCACGCCTCATGCCTACTCTAGGGCGCCGATAGGCGATACCAAATTCAATTCAATTCAATTCAATTCAACAGTTAACCCAATTTATTTTGGCTTCTTGTCAGCCTGAGCGTTGCGCCCTTCGCCGTTTCAATGACGGGCTCCCGCGTCTGTCGTTTGATTGGCCGCAATTGCATCCATGGCATTAACTGTTGTTGGTTTGACAATCAACAGCAGTGTTGCACGGACAGACACCCTCTGTCAATAATGATGGAATTGTTGGCCTGTAGTTATTTCATTCCTGCGAATCTCTGTTGCATGACTTCTTCCCATATTCCTCCTGTCCTCTTCTGATTCATTTCAAAATTTTGCCAGTTGACATTGCAGGCTTGGTTTTCTCCCTCAAAGATGGGTTCCGAATTTGAAGCGATTGCCGCCAGCCTCCAGGACGAATGCACCACATGCATGGAGGCATTAGACTCAGCCATGGGCAGGCTCCAACGACTTCTTGAGCACAATACACAGGGGAAGCTTGACATCCCCGGACATATCCACCGCGTGTCGCGAGCCATCAGTGAGCTCGATAAATTCCGACACGCTCAGGCTCAGTCTATAAACCAGGACGGTATCTACATACATTGGCCACAACTACAAGAAGTGTTGCGGGTGTGTTTCAGTGCTTACATGCATTTGCCACAACTACAAGAAGTGCTGCAGGCGTGTTTCGGTGTTCTATACATAACTAAGCTTTGTGTGCATTCTTTTGAACTTACGGTGCAGCACCGCGCCGTCGCTGGGGCTTCACAGATGGATGAGGCTATAAGTTGGGCATGGGACCGAAAAATCTCCTCTAAACTATAAACCGCAACAGAGAACGACAATGCGCGAATAGTGATTTGCATCTAGGGTTACAAGAAGCTACGAGCAGGCGATCGGGTTGAACAAATTGGAAATAGGGTAGACTGACAATTTAAACTTCCAATTGGCAAATATGCGCGCTTGACAAGTTACTTGCATTTTGACTGCCCTGTGATTAGCCTAGGTGCGAGACGCAGCTCCTGGGCGGAAGTTTTATTCTCTCGACATTTCCTGTCCACGGTGTTGGATGTCCCTGTACGCCAACGACATCTGTTCAGGATGTGTGTTGGGTCGCGGTCTTCTGTCGCATAATGACAGACCCCCACCCGCACCCAGAGGAGCCATGTTGCTCTGCGCCCTCACATGCAGTATTCTGCAATCATACAAACCTAATGAGTCCGTCCTTGGGGGACATATATTCCTCTTTTCCTTCGACTCACGGAGCCACGTCTCGATGGCTATAGATCCTGGCGCTTCTGGTTCGCTGACCACGCTGCACAGCGGGCAGATGGAAAAGCCATTTATCCCCAGGGCTGAGAACTTGCGTCCAAAAGTGAAATGGAAGTCCGTCGCGCAACGCAAAGGAATGGATGATAAGCACCAAGAAAGTCGACAGAGCAGCTCCCGCGGCGCAAGGCAAAGTCCCTCGTTCTCCGAAAGCCCTTCTTCATTGTTCGTCCAGGCTAACGTATATTTTGCACAGATCTCAACAGCGTAAAGAGACTCCGTTCGTATGCCTCTACCCAAACTGCGTTGCTGGGCTATTCGGGACGCACGTGAAACTCGTTCAACATTATCGCCGCGTGCACCTCGGTCTCCCCGACCGGCGGTATGGCACATTCCTCTGCGATTACGAACGTTGTAAGCGAAGTTCAGTCCCTTTCCGTCGCTTAGATGCGTTACGCGAACATCTAAGAAAGACGCACAAGGAAGCCATCCAGAAAAACCATCGTGCGCATAGCGGCTCATCGATTGCTGTCCAAGTCGAACATATGGATTGGTGGCGTTGTACTAAGTGTCTTCAAAAGATTGAACGCAATCAAGAAAAGGGCTATTGTCCGAACCGCAAGTTGCTGGTAGGGATAGGAATGGCTATGACACCAATGGAAGCTGACTGGATAAGCAGAAACATGGCCTCTGCAAACGCTGTGCTCCGGCATCAGCTCCAACAAAGGCAACTAATATTACGAAGAGCTAAACATTAATCTCGAGTTGCGTACATGAACCAAGCTGGCGAAATTCCTAAGGCAAGTTGTTAAGGAAACTATCCATGACAAGGAGTCTTATACAGCCCTCATTCAAGGACTCGGCCCTCTCTCCCTCTCTCCTTCAACCTGTCCAACTACTAGGGCATCCAGCCCCTGCCATGATCATGCAGCGACGGCAATCTCTTCGTCCAACTTATCGACCTCTTTGCCATCCTCCCTATCCTATACGACTCCGCCACTATATTAGGTACAGCTACACCGGTGAGCAAAGTTGTCACTATAATACGCTATTCCCCCCCCATCTATCAGCCTGTGCCGCTGTACAAGTCTCAGTATGTGTTCCTGTAAGGTGCGTATTTCCATCTCGGTTTCTCAACCGTGGCAGGATAAAGCCGTTGTTTTCGCCATCTGTCGACGTCTGCAGCCTTTTTTTTGCAGCTTTCGAGATTTCGTAGCCATGCTGTTGCAGAGCTTACATGGCGATTTTCTCTTCTCGACCTCGTGTACAAGCTTTAGCCCGCAAGTTTCACCTATTCGATACTCCTTGTTGCATTGTTCGCGAAAGCTCCCCCATCTCCAATAGCCGCAAGTCCAAACCATTTGCTCAAAGAAGCACATCTTCAAAATGCTTCACGAATGGTCTATGTGTGAATTGCAAGAGATGCGCTTGGAAGAAAGATGCTGCGGATCGATTCCTAAGGGAACTGCAATAGACTGGTTGCGTATAGGGTAGATCAAGGCTGGTCGATTGCCCGGAAAACCCCAGGTTGCTTATAAGTCGGTCTTTTTCTGCATTAATAAAGATATGATGAGTTCTCGGCCCCGCTATAGTTACCAGCTTTGTTCATTTACTGCTGCTTGTCACACACCTCTGGCTGGATGACTCGGCTTTTCCTCACACGGCGAGATGCGCCGGCTCCTGTAAAATGGAGGCCTTAATTTACAGAACAGCCTCGCCACTTTCGATCGGCCTCCACGGCACGAGGCTCCACGTATCATTGAACTTGCCTGTATGGGAGTGAATTGATCATATAGGTACAGGCTAGGCTTCGTCGTCGGTTATTTGTCCACTCCACCGTTGTCCCACTGGTTTCTGCTACATGCTTTCGGGAGGATTCGTCGCGTCGCTCTATGTTCTTCACTATTTCCTGCACTCTACGCTCTTTCTTTTCCCCTCCAAAAATCTACATATATGAAGAACCAATTACAGAAAAATAACCACTTATACGAGTGAATTAGTCCCCGAATCTTATTTGTAGGGCCGCCGGGAATAACTGCTCTACAAAGGCAAATCCAGAATGTGGGAGCAGACGTAGTGGATCAGCGGCAAGGATGCCTCCCCTCTGAGCATCTGTAAAAAGGCGTTTAAAGGACGAGAGGAAAGTACAGAAGGGCCGCGACAAATGAAATATGGCCCCACTCTATGTCTTCGGAAGTTGAACCGCTTCTCACGAACGTGTGCCCGGCGCTAAAGATTGACGTGCTGCGTGGAGTGCTAGGTTTAGCCTCGCGTACTGAACTCAGCAGTGCTTACGACACCAGCCTCGGCGGGCCGTCAGTTCGTTACTTCCCTGCCAGTTCGACGGGAGCATACCCTTGCTAAGTCAGCTGGCCTGACGTAAAACACGAGGGCTGCTAGTCTATGCTACAAGCCAAGATTCTCCATGTTTGACGTTTCTTCCATACTATTGGTCGTGAAACAAGGCGTTTGGCGGTTGGCGGCTGTATATTGCGATCTCACCAGGACCACTTTTCCGAATGGAGAGTGCCATTGCGTCAAGCCAAAACAAGCCGCCAACAGATCACATTTTTTCCAGCTCCATCCATCATGCATGTACCTTTGAGGGAATTGTTGGTCCTACGTCGTTGCCATTCAGGCCCAGAGCTTTCTTTCGGGCGTATACCCCATATCGTGGACATGGCCACTTCAGTACATCCTTGCGATTCTTGCGCTCGCGCAAGTACAACGCGAAGCCAAAATGCGACCTTGCCGGTGTAGCCACGCTGCTGCCTGAAGTGGTCTGTAATCCCATAGCCGCCGCTAAGGTGCATGGTACCTGATGATGGACTGACTGGGATGCCATCCGGGGCGTGGGACGATAGCAGCGGGTCTTGCGGAAGACGATTTCTCACATAGAACGCCCACGGAGCAACCCCTTGATGTTAATCATGTGCTCGTGCCAGGCCCCGAACTCACGAGTTCCAAAATAAAGTGGGACATGGCACGAGTAGAGACAAGGGCTGGTTGGAAGTAGGTTAACAACGAGACTCGTCTCCAAACGCGGCCCAGCCTTTGTGACGAAACGCAATTTGTGCCTTAGCGAAGTCGTGCCATCTGGGATTGATTCGTCTCTGGTCTCCCATCGGTCGCCCCAGGCTGTATGGCAACACTCTGCCCTATTTCAACAGGCCTGGACGTTACCCACTTGCCCATTTCAGCTCCCTACAGTAGCCGGCTCCCGTATCTGGCAATTCGACTGGCCCCCCGGTGATGAGTCCTGCGTCGTTCACGCCTCGATATGCACAGTTGTGTGTCATGAAGTTCCCACTGCCCGCATGTCTGGCAGCCGTCGCTGTTGGTCGGCTATTGAGCATTCCAAGTCGTCAGCCAGATCGTTCGCCACATTTTCTGCTGGCATTGCTTTACTGGCTTCTTTTTCCCTCCTTTGGTGTTTGAGAAACCCTAAATGCTGTGCTTAGAATAGAGGTGATTCGTGTTAATTGTTGGCTGCCATATGGACAAGTTGGACGGCATACGCCGTGGCAGAGGAGTTAGCCCCATCCAACTTGGCCCCCACAGCCCTATGGACATGTTGCAGTCGCTTGATTCCTTGTGCTCCAGGCCTGCGTGATGAGAATGCAGCTTTAGAGGTGCGTTGCAGGGGTCGGTTTTGCCATCGAAAGAGATAGACGCGGTCCACGATCTTCATGCCGGACGGCAAACTCATCCTGGCTCGACGAGAAGGACTTGCCTTGATCGTTCGTTGCAACGCTGCCGGGGCCCTTCCGATTCGGCAAAGATTGTCATAGCGGTAGCACCGAACAACCAGAGCGTTCTAACACTTGTCCAACGAGTGAACTTGGGCAAGGTCTGCACGGTGGCATAAAAAGTTTTCAGTCACAGACGGAGGAGTGTTACATTGGGCATCCCTGTTTCTTTTCCGGCTACTCCATAGGCAAACTACAAGTGACAGTTCCGTGATGGCTCGTTGGCCAATTGGAAGAAGGCCGCCGACTTGTTAGCGCGCCCCATCTACAGCGTGAAATCCGCCCTGTACTCGCATGGCAGTGCAATGCCATTCGGACGATCATGCTCAGCCACACCACCCCGCCCGGGCAGTGTGGGGGAAAGAGACAACTTGAGTGGTTGTACGGGCCGTCCCGACAGTCTGGTTCAGCGAATCAGCTTGGAGATGCCCGTTGCAACTGTCAAACAAAACTCTACCAGTGTGCACTCATTGGACGACGCAAACACGACGATGCAAACAGGGCCAGTACAACAGGCAGCCATAATGCTACGCACTAACTAAGGTCGGGGAGCTCCGGGTCGGGCTTCAGTTGGGTCGGCGATAACCAATTCTAGGTAGGCAACTTTTGCATGGAGTTGGACAATTTGTGCCTGTGCAGCGTAATACGCACTCTCCCACGATTGGCAGCAGATTTGAGCCCATGTCAACTCTGCTCTTGTAAAACTCAGAATGCTCTCCTCCGCTTCTTTCGGTGTTAGTGGGAGTTCGCCTGGCTCCATGGTCAGTCTCGTATGACGTTCTTCGGCTGGAGTGAGTGGGTTTCGTGCTTGGGTGTTCGAGTGTGTGTGCCCGGCAAAGGGAGAAGGGAGCACTGAACCAACAGAATTCTGGTGATTTATACATTTTAGTGGGATGCCCAAGTCACAATCAGTCCAAGTTCCTGATTTGCGGACTTTGGTTCCTCTCTACAAGATTATACCTTGGATTTAGTCGAGCTATGAAGGAAACAGAAACCTGGAAACACGAAACTGAATTCTGGGAGTTCGGTACTTCAGAAGACCTTAGGCTACGGTAACATAAAAGGCCAAAGAGCCAAGTCGAAGATTCAAGAACACTTTTCCTTCCCTTCTTCTGCTTACTTAGCCCAACCCACTCACTGTTGTCCGTCCCACATGGCGATCTCTTGCCAGGTGAACACGCTTTATGACGAGCCCCTTGAAGGCATCTTTGTCCAGCTCCGATGCGTCGAGCACCCTGAGCACTGTTTCATGGGATGTTCTAACCAGTCGGGCGCGATAGATGAATGGTTGAGCCTTCATGATCACAAAGTGCGGCCTGTACAGTCAAATCCGAACATGGAAGGCTTGCATTGGCAAATGTGTTTTGTTGTCCAGCCTTTTTTCCACGACACATGCTTCCCAGAAATCTGGAATACCGTCTGGGTGCCCAAGAATACAGATTCTCACACTGTCGTTACTGTTGACAAAGACATGTACGCAGTCTTCAAGGATGATGCTTCAAGTGCCGCCCTTGAAGGAGGTACGCTCCCGTCTCACACGGTTGCAGTTCATCCGTCGCATGGCCCCAAGGTCATCCACAATACAGCAGACTCTGACGATGTGGAAATCCGCGTCGTCACCCCCTTGCCTTACGATAGAATTTCAGGATTCAATGAGCCCGTCTGTGTAAGCGCCGGGCCAGAAGGGCCTGCTATAGTTCCTTGGCAGGAAAGAAAACCTAAAAAAAGACACAGGGGCACAGCACATCCACAGCAACTGAGGCGCTCAGCTAGGCTCTCAAAGTCGTAATTGCTCCGAATCATTGTGTAGTCCCTCAGGAATTTGATAAATATAGTTCTACCTTGTTGGACATCAGATTATGGAAAGCACTCTACCAAATGAGACTGGTCACAATTGCTAATTTTACCACCACTCGCTTGTAAATAAATTTGCATTCACTAGGATCCCGCAAGGGGCTCATGAGAAGATAAAGAGCACGGAAAATCCCCCCCTTTCCACTGCCCGTACGTGTTAACTTCGAGCATAACCATGGCATCGACCAAAATGAACGAGACGGAGTTCCGATTCCAACTGAACAGGTGTAGGCTGCACTTGGAAGCAACTCACGCATCCTTGCAGGCTGTGCACGGCGACTTGAGGTACTTACAAGTAGCATTAGATGAGGTTGCGTCAGAGGTGAAGCGATTGGCACGTGATAATGATTTACTGCTGTCATGCTTGAACCATCTTGTTGACTGGGATGAGGATGACTGGGAGGGGGGTGACAGTCCGAAGACTCCAAAGCCACCAACAACACCCACCACCCCTTGTACTCCATGGGGCCCCCCCAAGGAGGAGCTCACCCATGATTCAGGCTCGAGTGGCAATAGCAGGATGGTTGCTGCAGGGGCTGCCGGAGATAAACCTCGGTCGAAATCGATGTGAAAGTCGGCCGCAGTGGTTCTCCTGTGCACCACGGCAGTCACTTCTGAGATGTGTGGTGTTGATTCCATAATTAGTAGCATCTCACTTGCAAACAAGGAATCTGCCATCGTAATAGATGTAGTGACGGGTGTCTTACGTGGCAAATTTTGAAGGGCGCCTAGACCCCCTTGAACCAACTTCAAAGAAGGGACGGTTTCAAAATGTGTGAGCCTTTGAGAAATCATGGCATTGAATTGGAAGAGGCCATCAGAGACGGCTGTCGACTGTCCGAGGGCGGCTAGGTCTGTTGCCTAGTTGGTTAGCTTGAGTCGTCCTGCTTTATCACCTCGTCCAACAGTGCCTTGAACGGAGGCTTCCCGGCCCGAAAGCCTTAAATATATGAAGTCATCCAGTACACACATATTAATATTGGAACTTATCTACTGTATAACACTAGTGATTTTGTTACTCGATTTTGCACAAATTTCTCAGTCTTTGAGGTCCCACGCCGTTTCTACCTATCATATCATGGAAGCTGAAAAGCGTAAGTGTCTCTCTTCATCATTAGAAATGCATGGTACTAATCATATTAACGAACAGCTTACCAGCCTATCTGGACAAGTGCCCATAAGGTAGGGGTCCTCGTACAAGTTGTCACATTGATCACCTGGATCTCGTCCGCAGTTATCTCCGTCTACTTCCACGACAGAATATGGGAACTGAACTACCTCCACCCGTCACTCTTCACTTTGGACCACATTCTTGGGGATATGTTTTGGTTTGTCTACACCCTTCATAATTTAAGACTCCATCACCTCACATTTTTAAACAGGGTCGGTCTCTTCGTCGTCCAGTCAGCTCACATCGTCTACGACCTGTACAAAACCTCGCCTGTGGGACTTGGAGTGATGCAGGGCCAGTTCATCCTGAACAACGTCTTTCATTTCGCATTTATCCTATTATTCGTCAATTCCTTCTTCATTGCAGCTGAGCTTCTCCTAGTACTAAATCTTCTCAATCTATGTATATTGTATTTCCGTCACTCCCTCTGCTGGATGTTGATCCGCACAGCAACCATGTCTGGTCCTTTGGCATGGACGATTGTTGCGGTCTATTGGAATGGCTCAATGATGGTTCCAGACCCAACATCCACTGCATGCCGTGTAGTCGGCCAAATTTCAACCTGGGGAATATTCGCTTGTGGGGTTTTGTTTGCATTGGCGTATCAGGTTTGGTGACTACAGTCCGTGTCACAAATCGTATGGACTAACCGTAGGTAGGACTGCATTATCACATATTGTCTCAGTTTTCTGTCTGGAGCACTTGGCGTTGCGCAACTGAGAAGCCAGCTCGTACCCTTTCAATGGGTTTCTTCTTTTACTATGACCGCTACTCTATATGTCATAACCGTCGTTTTGATTATTCGGAAGTGGAAGCTCCGAATGTTGGAGCTGAGAAGCTCTTTCGATAAGGAATCCGACAAATGCCTGGAGGCTAACAAAGCAGATACGGATTGCTATGAATCGTGAGACGCCGTAAACCACCAGTAAGTTGGCCAAGCCCCTAGAATCTTACTCTGGTTTGATATTGTATCAGATATGTATCAGATACTGGTGAATACTGTTGTGGCACTGTAGCTTTGTGGTAGGCCCTTATATGCCAGATGGCTCTTATGTTATGTACTGTTTGTTTGTCTTTGTCACGCAATGTGGAAATATTCTTTTTGAAACAAATTGTCTTTGAGGTTGCTTTAGGATAAGAAGTTCATGAGATTAAGTGCCAAGTCCTTGGCGTTCATCCTACCGTTCATGCTTGTGGCATGGTTGTTAGAATAGAGTAGAAGTGTCTTTTGGACCTAGTATTGATTTTTGTTTTCGCAATGTATGTTTAACTGATATGTTCGTTACATCGCTCTATCTGATAGAAAATATGAATCCACTTGCTTGAGGCTCCTGAACGCAGCAGATCGAGAAACGTTGCCGTTGCATATTTAAGACCCTTGGCAACCATGTGAAGGGCGGGAGTCGTATACCAGTATTTCTACCTATTTTTAGAAAACCGAGATTTCACAACATTTTGTCTGGTGACTGTGAAATCCAAAACTTCCAATTTGAGAACATAGATCTTGTTTTCAAGACCCCCAACAAAACAACGCCATCGCCCATCGCTGCCCATGTATATAAGCCTGCAAGAACCTACTACAATGCTTCAATAGGTCAGCAGTCTGCGAAAACCTTAGTCACTAGCTTAAAGCCAGAACACAATGGTGGAGGAAAATAAGCCCCTACAAAAGAGAGACAGGACAAATGATAACTTCAGAAGAGTCATGAACAATTACATGAAAAAGGGTAACTTGATATGCCAACGCTATGGTGCAGATATCCACATTGTGGTACGGCGAAAACATCGTTTCTACACCTACAGCTCAACTCAAGATTCGACGTTCCCACCATATCATCAACAAGTTGTACGTTGTCCGCCCTCTTCATCTGGCCCAAGTCTCTAACAATTTTTAGGAGCAATCTTACCCCTTACCCATACAGAAAACACCTCTAGACTATCCCATTCAAAAAGCATAAATGATGATTTATCTCAAGGAAGCAGTGCAGTAATCATAGTTTGACTTTTTTTTTATTAAAAAATATCGAGACAAAACCTTTGCATCTTCTTGGTGAGACGGAGCGTAAATCAAGTTGTATATAGAGCTTCCTAGCAATTCTGCTTGGTATGTCTAGTCATCAGCGCTTCTACGGATTTCGGATATAAGCACAGAGTTCGAGGGCTATATCCACACTACTCCGGCATCCTTTAGTAGCATGGTTATCATTGGGGTCATTATAGACGTTGGAACAAACGTCGTCACAGCTAGAAGGGCACAATACCCCAGGACAGTCGCTGGTGGAGGTATGCAGGGCAACACCATAGGCGCAAAACTGCCTCGGGAATTCATCGTTAATGTCTGATAGATCATAGTACAGATCCGTAGGGTGCTGCGAAGGCACGTAAGAATACTCCAGCTGTGTCTTTGAGCTAGATGCAAAGGCGTTTGTACGGCCTACATCGGTCAAGGTTTTGCCAACGCAGATGTCGCTCGTAATTTTAATTGATACACCAGTTCCGTTTTCGACAGGGCGGTATGTCTCAACGTAAGTGTCTCTCGGAGGCAATTCTAGTACAAATGGAGATGTCGCTTGGACCGAAGCAAGAAACACAGAGAAGGGGCAGCGATTGATTACAATCGCGTTCAGCTTCGGCCCCTGTGGACTGAAGGATAACAATTCACTAGGCCTGCACTCACCCGGGTTTAACTTTGGCACCTCAGGACCTTTCGAGAGAAGACGTGGGTTTAAGAGAAAAGTGACCAGAAGTGAAGCCACTGATGAAACCCCTCAGCAAGAGGGTAGTAACCACAGCATCTGAGGCGCTCAGCTAGGCTTGCTACGCCGTAAATACCCTTCATTTTGCAGAACTAGTGTAGCACCTTGTATGTACCTTGTGAAGTCGTAGTCAACCAGCCGATATGTAGAGATATGATCCATAATCTTAACAAAATAAAATACAAAATACAAAAAGAGCGAAATGGAAACATACTAGCTCAATAGGTCTCCAATCACGGACATGTATGTAACAGCATGAGACACGATGACTTGTGTCGCGACCTTAGAACTTTGATCTAGTAAACCAGAGTGGCGATCTTAGTCGTCTGCGGGTCATCGATGTATTATTCTGATGTAAAATATACTTGCTCCCCATGAACATTGAACAACTATACTCATCAACCAAGCAGTACATACGAAAGCCTTGGTGCTTGGCTTTGTCATGGGTGGGATCAGCAGGTCTCAGATCTCAGAACTCGGATGTTAATAGCCTCCCAGTCTCCCCATCTATGTGGCCGTCTTGCAGCTGGGGACCCATTGACACTAGACTCGTATCGCGGATGCACTCAACCTAGCATCGCGGGCACCTCCATGGAGATCGACGCGCTCGTAAAGATTTTTGCTGCCCTCAGTCTGAGTGACAACGAGGATGAGGTTGCCCGGAGGCGTCTGCGCTGCATCCTTTGTGGAAAGGGGTTTCAAAAGAGTAATGACCTCACCCGCCATATGGAAGGGCCACATCGGAGGGCTGGAAACTCCATCTACTGCTGTAGGGATGGTCACTATCGGACAGCAAGGAAAGGAAGTTACGAAAGACATCTTCGTAAATGCAAGGTAAAGAAAATTTCTAGTGGATTGTTCCGTTGCCACTGCGGAGAAGCGGACGTCGATGAGGCAAACCATGTTAGTCACATTCGCAAATGCAGGCGTGGGAAAAACGCTTCCAGCTCATGCAAGGAGAAAACTGAATGACACGAATACCGAGAGGCCCCGCATCACGTAATCGGCATGCCACCCAACGACCACTTCATGGGATAAAGGTTTGCATACGGGCTTAATTAAGGATAATAAAGGATAATAGGATAGTTTACTGGTTCTGTTGTGGGAGGTTTGAAGTTTAATGATACAAATTTTCTCTCGCACTTAACATGCGTGCGGCTATTAGCGACACTTATAGAGTAAAGCTTTGTGGATAGAGACGCTGTGGACAGTGTGACGCCGTGGGACAGTGTGACGCCGTGGGACAGTGTGACGCCGTGGGACAGTGTGACGCCGTGAGACAGCGGGACGCCGGGGACAGTGTGACGTTGTGAGGGAACCAGCGAGATAGCGGGTGCTCCTAGTGCATCCCCGCATCAGCCACTCCATCTCTGGAAAGATTCTCTATAAGAACGCCACCTGTGAAAAGACCGTCTCTGTAAACGTTATCGCTGAAAAATTAATCTCCGATAAGTCCATCTTTGAAAACACCGTCTATGTAACACTATTTCTGAAGGCGGGTAAGGTAATCTCTGCAAAGGTCGTCCGTGAAAAGGCCCCCTCCGTAAACGCTATCGCTGAAGAGGCAATCTCTGCGAAGCCCATCTTCGAAAACACCATCCGTGAAAACACCATTTCCGGAGGCGGATAGGGTCATCTCCACAAAGGCCACCTCATCAAGAAGGCAACCTCCAAAAATGCACCCCCAAGAACCCATCGTTAAGGACTCGTATGCAAATTCTCAGTTCTTAAAACTCGGCTCCTGGAATGAGGCCGTTGCAATGATGACCTTGGGTGGAGCAGGCACATTTACATATTCAATAGTAGTAAGGTCAATTTTCGAAGCAAGGCTTTCTTTTAAACAAAAACAAATGGAAGCTGGCTCAAAAGAAGCAACAGGCGACTAGAGAAGCCAACCTACGCTACCGAGATCTACTTGTTCCTTGGGATGTTGATATACATGTCCATCCATGTCGAACCACGCTTGGAGCACTATTGGAGGGCTGCTCCAACTAATCCAGTGCACACAATTAACAGAGCCCACAGAAAATGCTCTCGCTTGCAGTGGTATTATTTACCAACTGCTTGTAACTGAAGCCTTAGGTATATACATGTACATATTAATTGCGGAGACGTCGAAACGAATCTCGAACCCGTCGCAGCTTCCCAGTCAATTTCTTGAGCGTCCTTCGTTTCTTGGTCGTCGAAGGATTAGGTGGCTCTGTGCTGAGCGCGGATTGAACAAGACGTAGACTTTCCGCCGCCCGACACGTATGGGGATGCTCCTCCCAAGAATTCGCTTTCTCTTCTCAAGCACCTTCCTCTTCATCAATACTGCTTCGTCCAGTTTGCCTTGGTCGCCTAGCATAATTGCAAGGTTGCTCATCGCCAAGATTGTATCCGGATGCTCATCGCCAAGAATCCGCTGCCTTTTCTCAAGCACCTCATTTTGTGACAATGCAGCTTCGTTCCAGCGTCCAATCTCTTCGAAAAAAATACCAAAGCTTTCCACAGCCTCCAGCAAACCAACTTGGTCCCTGTCAAATACTGTTGAGACCCTCCTAAAGCTTTGGACGTTGTCTACTAGATGTGACACAACTCGCAGCTTTGAGGCAGGCCCAGCCTTACGATCACCAATAACCTTCAGGTAATTATTGAGCAACTGTGAGGCAGCGTACCAAAAGCGTTGCACTCGTTCGTCGCCTTGTAGTCGATCGTAGCCCCAGGCATGTACAAGGCGGTGAATTGAGTATGAGGTTTGTCTCATCTTATGCTGGCAGAGCGAGTATTTCTCCAGAAGCTGAAAACATTCCTCCAAGTGAGGGAGGTCCACCACATTTTGGCACCCTAAAATTAATGTCCATGGTGCGACCGTTGTGAATCAATGCCTAAGCAGAAAAGCTCAAGGAAGATGTCTTCATAGTGAATAAAAGACAACAACGTGAGAAGGCGGGATGCTTCCGGGAGGTGCCTGGACACCGCCGAGTAAGACGTCTCCCACACTGTCATAACGCTATGGTCATACCTTGCAACGAGTTCATCTGGCGTTTCCGAGAGCAGCTTCCGTCGATGGCGATCGAATTCATTAAGATATACGGATAAATTAGATGACAGCCGCGGGGTCTGTGACACATATTTTCCAGCCATGCTGATTGCCAGTGCAAGGCACCCCAGCTCATGCACAATGAGTTTGGCTTCAGCTACCACATCATTACATGATGGTTGTATCTCTGCGCAATTTAGGAACAGTTCGACACTTTGTGACTCTTCAAGTTCCCCAGCAGAAACCCCTTCGAACGTCGACATAGATCTTGCGATAGATGCTCGACTAGTAATGATAATATGTATATTAGGGGATCCTGGAATGTATTCAGACAGCGCCAGAAAACTTTTGTCTTTTTGGTGCAGATAATCGGCACCGTCGAAGACGATAAGAAACTTTCCAGAAGCTCTAGTAAACCAGCTGAGTACTTCTCTTTTCACATCATCAGGATTCGGATTGCATAGTAGTGTAGTAGGATCTGCTAGTAGTCGGTATATAGCCAGGAAATCTCGGTCGATAGATGCCGGTTGTTCCGCTTGAATCCAGAAGGTGGCATCATACTCCGTTCGAAAACGCTGCAGGTAGCTTAGAGCTAGCTGTGACTTTCCCGCTCCTCCCATACCCCATACACCTACCTTCTTTACCTCCCCTTGTCTATTAGGGCCGAGGGGTCTTACGAGCTGATTTCGGATGCTATCACGAAGAGTTGTTCGCTGAACAAATTGTGATCATATCATATGAACCTCATATGATATGGTGAGGGTTCCGCCCATATCATATATGATATGACCTTCAAAAATCGAATCATATATGGTAATATCACACTATTGGACACGCACTGTTCAAGACAAGAAAAGAGCCAACGCGGTACTGAAACGCTGGCTGGCCTTTGAGATCCACCTATCATGGGGACGATGAACAGAGGATCATTTCCCTTGTCCTAAAGACTAACCAGAGACCCGCGCAGTATCGTAAAACATTACGTAACGGTGGGAAGAACGGAACAAAAGGTCAAGTTAGCGAGCGCGGCTTGGGTGTACTATTCAGGGAGAAAATGACAAACCGCGCCCAAACCCCTGGGCTGGGCGCACGCGACTAGGTGGCTACTGTGGCTGGTTAGTTGCACCTTGCATATATCACATCACTACAACGCGGGCATCCTACCGCCCTAGTGGGGATGAAACTAAGACAGGAATGGTCTAACTCTTTAGCGCCCAAAACGGGACCAATAGGCTACCGTCCATACGCGGGAATCGCGGGAATAATACTACCCTGCACGGGTCAAAGGCGGGGTGGAGCTGTAGCAGAAGTAGAAAGTAGTAAGAAAAGCAAAAAAAGAGAGCAAAAAGCAAAATGAAACATGAAAAATGAAAGGAAAATGGTATATTGCAGCTTTACTCTTGCCCACTAGTACTGGTGTTTTTATCCCGAGACGAAGTACAAATAGATGATGAAATCCTGTTTTTTATCGTACAAACCCAACTATAAACACACACTAGTTTTAATCGTTTACATTGTACTTCGCACACTTCGCACACTTCCCAAAAACTAGCAACATCATGAAGTTTGGCATTAGTGAAATCGCCATTTGCCTCGTGGCTGCAACTAGCCCCATCGTCTCAGCAGCTACATGCACCAAGGGCCTTGACTACTGCGGTTGGATCATGCAGCGCAATGGTCAGTAACCACCAGCATTTGTGTTTGAAACATCTCCCTTTAACTGCCAGTTTTGGCATCTCGTATTTCGTGTACAGCGAGGTATTTTAACAAACGGTAGAGACCAATTTGCTAACAGAATATTTAATTTACTCAGGTTGGAGCAACGCGGCCTTGGAAGACGCGATCAAGAAGGCAGGAAGATCTCCTGATGACCTTGGAAGGGCCTATGGTTTATTTACATGCCTGGACGGCAACAAGATCAAATGGAAAAGGCAATGTGGATTTTGGAATTGTGCCAACGGTGGTGGAGGTAGCAGCGACTTTTGCACTTGTTTTGGGAGTAAATGCTAATTCTACGGGGACAAAGAGGCAAACTCTGTTGAGCATGAAACACCATCACGTGCAGGGTCCAGCCTGCGCCATCCATAAATAGCGTGGCATCTCTAGCTCACAGAATGAACGCACTCTTTTCATCTGTGTTAGCTGTGACGTTCAACAAACTCTAGATAAAGAGATAGTGCGAGGAAACGGCCCCAGTTTGGAACCTAGATACTAAGAATATTGTCCAGCGCCTATCCTTCGCACACCTCTTCTCGAGGGCTTCACGCAAGGTAATCAACGTAAGCACCGTGAGCCTTGCCTCTGTGCCACAAACTATGTGAAAATTTTTGGAGTTTTGCCTGGAGGAACTCAAGGTTCTTTCTTCCGGGCCTTGCTTAAGATTTCTGCGCCACATCGCAGACACCCTTCCAATGCCATAGGCGCGTATCAGGGGTATGGGATCCCGTTAAATTGCCACTCTAGTCATCGCGCCTCCGCTTTCGGACCTCTGACCACTACATAATTGCCAAGGAGTCCTGCTGGGAGAAGGTCATGCACTCCACGTGCCATGAGAGTAGGATGTGGGCGTTCAAACGACTGTGAGAAGTATTGATGCTGAGATGAGGATTCCAGAGTCTGACTGATCCCCTTCTGCTGTCCTCCGGCTTCGTCCCGTACTTGGGGACTGACCGTCTAGGCCAATAATTTGACGTCTTGGGTATTTACCAACATCTGGCATTAGTGGTTCCTCTTCAAGTTCATCATCAGTGTCTGGATTGGCATATATCCAGATGTTATCTGTCACACACACGACTGTATGGGACAGCTTGGACAAAACGAGAGACTCTTGATTTCCTATCTAAAAGAAGGGAATTATACGAAATTAAATACTTTTTGGGATACTGTCGCGTAGGCAGCAGTATTACGATTTCCTGTTGCCACTTGCCACTTGCCAGTGGCAAGTTGCCACCTAGGCAGTGATGCTTGCGTGTTCTTGACAGAGGCAGCATTGTGCTTGAATGAGCGACCTGATCTTGACATACCTCTCTAGGTTGAACTTTTTCAAACTGTGAATAAAGAAGATAAAGGAGTGAGAAAAGCGAATCAGTCGCTATCGGATTCGTCTTGTGTCTCGAGGACACTTCTGATATCAACGAGTGCAAGTTGTTCTACAAAATGCTTGAACTTCTGGCCTGGTAAGATCTTCGTGAGACCGTCCGTGACCATTTCAGTGGTTGGCGTGTATGAGATTCGGAACTCTCCTTGCTGATAGGCTTGTTGTTGTAATGGTCCAAGCTGAGTATATTGACAACTAGCTGGGCGACTACTACGAGTGTCTAAACGCTAAAGAAGAAAGGAAAAGAGAACAAGAAAAGGAGAGATTAAGGAGCTCTTGAGCTCCTGAGCTCGACACGTGGTTAATCTCGCTTATGGATGGGTCCCGGCCGGGGGCCGGGGCCGAAGGCGAGAGTGCACGCCGAGCCATATCGGGCTCAGCCCGTTACAACAAATGTACTTGTGTACTTGAAAACCTCTGCGGGATGAGACCCCCGAAAGCGGCGGTATTGCACGGAAGCAACGCTGTCAAGGTCAAGTCGCTCAGTCAAGGCGACAGCCATTGCTATACTGCTGCCTGGCAGGCAGCAGTATTACAACAAGTATTTAGTTTCGTATTATTCCACTCTTTATGTAGGAAATTAAGAGCCTCTCGTTTTGCCCAAGCTGTCCCATACAATCGTGTGTGTGACAGTTATGAGCCCGGTTTGCACGACCTAATTTAATTTAGTCACAAGCTTCCACTTAACTGAACACCACCGATTACAATGGCAGCTGACGGCCTCGACGCCTCTTCCCGGGTCATCCTCAAAGGATCCGGTAACTGGGACGTGTGGATCAGTGTAATCCGCAAGTTCGCCAAGAACCAGCAAGTCTGGGACTACATCAACCCCGATGTTGTACAGAAGCCGAGTTTGACCCCACCAGTCGAACCGACTCCGGGACAAGTCCAGGAGAACGCCGCTGAGATACAACAATTGCAGGGTGACAGCCTTAGCAAATTCCAAATCCTTGAGGCACGGCATCGAAGCCAACTTCAGATCTACAAGGACAAGGCAAAAGCTTTGGCAACGCTACAAGAGTACATTGTCAAAACCGTTGGCAAGTACTACGACATCATCGCAAAAGAAGATGATACCGCAAAGGAACTCACAATCCTAAGGAACCGCGTCAAACCAACTGACTGGGCACGGGAGAGTGAAGTCACGGATCGATATTACGCTACACTCAAGGAAGTCAGCAGAACAAAGGTCGAAACATGGATCTCGAAATGGCAAGTCACATTGAATGAAGCCAAGAATCTTGATCTACCCGATGTAAGAGGCCTGCGACCGACTCGACATTTCCTTAAGGCAGTAAATGCAGTTGACCCAACATTCTCAAAAGTCTGGATCAATCAGATGGAAGCAAATGCCCTATCCCACGAGGATGACCCCTATCCCACGAGGATGACGAGTGGCAAAAGACGTTCCCTGATGGAATCAAGATCAGTGAAATTTTTGAACGGTCATATCGATCAACTGCGCAAAGCGCAAGCATCACAGGTGCATTCGCCACCTTCCAAGGAGAAGGGGAGCCTCATGCATCCAACCCAACAGCAAGAACCCAGGGGGAAAGCCAATTTGCCTCTGCGGTCGCAGGCATTTCTACTCGGAGTGCGACTACCTTTCTGACTCGGTACGACCAGCTGGATGGTCTCCGGACAATAACGTCCAGGAAGAAATCGATCAGAAGCTCCAAGACCCTACAATCAAGGGCAAAGTCGAACGGTCCATCAGGAACCGGAAGAAGAGAGAGGAACAGTCAAAGCAGCAGAATGAATCGGAAGTCAAAGGCACCGCCTTTGCGGGAGCTGGAGCTGTAGCCAAAGCCCAGCCCGAGGATACGCAGCCAACGCAGGAGCTATCCGACGGACAGACTCAATCCATGTTCTCAACTGCAGCTGTCTATCCACTTCGCGATTCCTTTATCCTGGACTCTGGATCTGACTTTCATATATGCAATAACTCCAAACGCTTCGTTGAAGGATCATACAAGGTTTGCGACACTACCGAAACCGCTTACTCTGGAGACACACACCTGAAAATCCTTGGATATGGTGATGTGATCATCCGGATTGGCAAAACGGACAAGTTCAGGCTCCAAAATGTAGCCTACGTTCCAAGATTCCACACAAACGTTGCGTCCCTGGATCTCTTCCTCCAGAGAGGATACAACTGGAACCCAGCAACGAGCGCCGTCTCAAGAGACGGAAAGACGATCTTTCGCACAGAGAGGCGATATCGCCAGCCTGTCATTGAATTTAACCAAGTCGATTACGAATCGCACATGCCATTGGCAACCGCTTTCACCTCATCCACGCAGCCGAGACCCGAGTCCGCTGCAGAAGCCACTCAATGGCACCAACGCCTAGGTCATCTTGGGTCTGAAGCCCCTGAGCGCCTAGTTCAACAAACAACCGGAGCCAAAATAAAAGGCCCGCTCAAGATCGAGTGCAAGGACTGCGCCGTCGCCAAGGCAAAACGCATTGTCTCGCGACGAAGCCCGCGGACAAAAGCACCACGACCATTTTGGCGCATTTACGTTGACATCTTCGCCATGAGCGACGGATACAAGGGAATGAAACACGCCGTGCTGATCCGAGATGAATACACATCCATGATCTACATCTACCTCTTGAGAGATGCAACCACTGAAAGTGTCCTCGGAGTGTTAAAGGCCTTTGAAGCCTACATTCGACGACAGTTCGACACATCGATCTGCGTTATCCATCGAGATAATGACAGAGCACTTCAGTCAGAATATGTTGCATGGGTCAGATCCCAAGGGATCGACGATGAACCCACTGCACCTGACACGCCGGCACAAAACGGGCCTGCTGAACGATCTGGCGGGGTAATAGGCAGCCAGTCTCGCACAATGCAGGTTGGTGCCAACTTTCCGGACGAACTGTGGCCTGAGACCTGGAAGACTGCGGTGTATCTACACAACAGATCGCCGCAGCAGGCAAACAACTGGAAAACGCCGTTTGAACGGCTGCACCAGTGGCTACAGGAGAACAATCGTGATACCGGATACCTCCAGACACAGCCCGACATTACTCACCTTAAGGCGTACGGATGCCGCGCCTATCCGCTGACCAGGGAAGCTCTGCAGGGCAAGCAGAAGAAAAGCCTGAAGATCCATCCACATGCAGAGATCGGATACCTTGTTGGATATGACTCTACCAACATCTTCAGGATCTGGATTCCAGAACGAAAAGAGGTTCGCCGAGTCCGAGACGTGACCTTTGACGAGACCCGTTTTTATGATCCAAGAGATCACCCGCAGAAGCTTCACATCGAGGAAGCAGAACTACAGCTTCAACTCCCTGCCCATATTGAAAGCGACCCAGAACCTGAGAAATCCGAAGAGGCCAGGACAGAGGCACATAGTGAGCCAAAATCGCCACCTTTGAAGGAGGCAGAAAGCGAAGATGAAACCCGATCAACTATTTGGGTTGGTGGCCAAGACCACTCCGACGAAGAAACGGACCAAGAGCTTGAAAGCTTCGACAGCCAAGCTACAAGCCAGACCGTTAGTCCAACACCTGATGAGAGTCACAGAGACTCCTTCAGCCCGGATCTTCAAGATCAGGATAATCAAGAGAATCGACAAGACCATGATAACGAACATGAGATCGAGATCGATGATCAGTCACTAAGAGAAGCGGGAAACCCTCTAGCACGCAAATCATTGCGACAAAGGAAACCAAGTGAACGAGCTCGCGAAGCAGCAGCTGGTTCATGTGCGGTTTACCGAAGTAGCTTTTTCATCGGTCGCGAACAGAAACTGCACCGATGAAGTCTTCCTCCAGAGCCAAGAAACTACCATGAGCTAATCGGACACCAATTTGAACAAGATTTCAAAGAAGCCATGGAAGTCGAATGGACAAGTGTACAGAAACGAGGAACGGTTAAGCCAATCCCAAGGGATCAGGCAACCAGCCAAGTGCTACCGCTCACATGGGTATTCAAATACAAATTCAATAAACATGGATACCTTCAGAAGTTCAAAGCACGAATCTGCGTTCGAGGTGATCTTCAGCAGCTAGGGTCCAAGGATACCTACACCGCCACCCTCGCAGGACGTTCTTTTCGAATCCTAATGGCAATCACCGCCAAATTTGACCTCGAAACGAGACAACTCGACGCGGTCAACGCATTCACAAATAGTGTACTCGACGAAAACGTATATGTCCAATTCCCAGATGGCTACCGCCGCAGAGGATGGGTCCTGAAACTGCTACGAGCATTATACGGACTAAGACGGTCACCACTGCTATGGCAGAAGGACCTGACCGCAGCTTTCGAAAACCTTGGCCTCAAACAGAGCCAAGAGGAGCCATGCCTTTTCAGAAACAGCTGGCTCACAGTTTTCTTCTTCGTTGACGGCATCGTCCTGCTGTACTGTGCAAGACACCAAGACGCCGCAGACGAATTCATCGTCAAACTGAAAACCCAATATGAAATGAAGGACCTAGGGGAACTCAAGTGGTTCCTAGGCATTCGTGTCCTGAGAGACAGAGCAGCTCGCAAGCTATGGCTCTGCCAGGACTCATATATCGAAAAGATTGTAAACCAATATGGGATCACTAAGCGTGACCAATTCAAAGGAAATTTATTCCCCACAAACGACTTGCAACGTCGAAAGGACCAGGCAAGACCAGACCTTGTCCATCGATATCAGCAGAAGGTCGGCTCCGTCAACTATGTCGCAGTCATAACGCGAGCCGACATCGCAAAACCGATATCCAAGCTTGCAGAATTCCTGCTCAACCCATCAGACCAGCATGTCTACCTGGTGGATCGCATAATGGAATATCTCTGGCCCACTCGGTTCCTTGCCATTCAATTCAACGGAATAAGCTGCACAACGGAAATGATCAAGGTCAACCACTGCAGCATTCCACGAGAGCTCCGCATCGCATCCGACGCTGCATCCGCCGACGATCCGGAGACACGAAAGTCATCGCAAGGATACATCATAATCCTATTTGGAGGACCTGTCAGTTGGAAAACAGGAAAGCAAACCACAGTCACGACCTCATCAACCGAGGCAGAACTGCTAGCGTTTACTCACACTGCCAAGGAGGCAATTGCCACACAATGTCTGTTTCAACAGATTGATCTTCAACTAGACCATCCACTCCTCATCGAATGCGATAACAAACAAACAATCAGATTGATCGAAGTTGATCTTCCACGTCTGAAGACACAACTCAAGCACGTAGATGTTCATAACTGCTGGGCAAGACAGGCCTATCAGCAAGGACAATTCCAAATCTCATACACGCTGACCACCAAAATGGTCGCGGACGGTCTCACAAAGATCTTACCAGGCCAGAAGTTTAAGTATTTTATTAAATAACTTATACTTATTAATATTAGAAGTATCCTTAAGACGTAAGATAAATCCAATAGTAACTGATTTAAATGCTTTCTTGCTCCTTTATTCTAATTCATAGTTTAAGAAGGTTTAACCTGGGGGGGTATGTCAAGGTCAAGTCGCTCACTTAAGGCAACAGCTATTGCTATACTGCTGCCTGCCAGGCAGCAGTATTACAACAAGTATTTAGTTTCGTATTATTCTACTCTTTATATAGGAAATTAAGAGTCTCTCGTTTTGCCCAAGCTGTCCCATACAATCGTGTGTGTGATAGGTGGACTCCGCGCGACAGTGGGGACAGGCTGCATGTGCCTTGTGTTGAACGTCACAGCGGAACACAGATGAAAAGAGTGCGTTGATTCACTAAGCTAGAGATGCCGCCAGAGCAAGCTATTTATGGAAGGCGCAGGCTGGACCCTGCACGTGATGCTGTTTCATGTTCAACAATTGCTAGATGTCATAAAATTATCGATATCAGTAATTTGAGAGGTTGTCCAGCCTCTCAACCATAGAAGTCCTATTGATCACACCCAGGAGAAAGCCCTTTCGATCCATGTTGCATATGTTGTAAGGGGCAATGTCTTATTCCCCCCATTTTTTGCGGATCTTTTACCATCAGCAACGAAATCGAGAGGCTGTGCGCAAACTTACCAGCTCAAAATACGCTTTACACCTAGATGTTGTCGCATAGAATATAGGCTACTATTAGTGCTACTAGAAGGAATTCAGTAGACCTGTAATTTTGCTCTTTTTGACGCAACAGTTATGAGCCCGGACCCGCGCACTAGGTTGTAGACAAGACACAGCCACACTGCGAAAAACTGCACATCGACAGAACACAAGAACAGTGTTCGTGACACAGTTAGCTAAGTGAAATCAATCCCTTCTGAATAATTTAGTGCAAAATGCCACCTTCCAAGACTGAAGTTATCCTCACGGGGATCGACAATTGGGACGACTGGCAGAAGTTTGTTGCAAGCTTAATTGATATAGACATCTGGGAAGCGATTAAACCTGCAAACCGGACTCAAGTGCTTCTACGAAAGCCAAGAAGACCGCAGGTATCTGATTTTAACGCAAACGCTCAGACCGAAGCCAATCTTTCGGCTTCTCAAGTCAATGCTTTCAAACTAGCCCGCGACAATTGGAAAGACAGCTCTAAGGAGTACGAGCAACAGAAAACCAACCTTATCAAAGCTAGAAGTATTATCATCAGCCATGTGGATGAGAGATTAGGTCGTTATCTTGATCAAGACGATGATCTCCCCGGATGGATCGATAGTCTAGCTGTAGCAGTCAATGCTGAGCAGACTAAAGCAACAGATGCACTTGTGATTGAGTACCAGCAGATCATCAAGTCATTCAGCTGCACCGATTCAACTACGTTCAGCGAATGGATCTGGAAGTGGGAAAACTTTCTACTAAAAGCTGCACGTCGTCGAATGCTTGAGGTCACCGGCGGTCGTTGGTTATTCGACATAGCCCGCTTAATGGCCAAATATAACGGCAACTTCACCGACAACTGCAGACAAGCTGCAGAGTCATTTGTATTAAAAACAAGAGACTACAACCAAGCCGTTGAGCAAGGGGTACAGCAGCTATTACAACTAAATGACCTTAGTGATCACGGCAGGTTACGAGAAGCAGCATTGGCGATTCAAGGAGCTCTAATCCATACGCCTCCAAACGCCACGGACGCAAGCAAGGAATGGTCAATTGGAAGTGTAGCAGTCAAGTTACGAACCTGGGCTAGCTCTGCTCTCCCAACACAACCATCGAAGCCGTCAATTAGGCGAGGAACAGCATTCCAGGCTGACGCAAAAGAGAGTGATCAGAATGAAAGTTTAACTCAAAACCCGTCTAGTCGGAAGAGGCAACGGACAGACAATCAAGAGGGCAGCAACAAGAAACACGCCATGAACTGTGAAGCTTGCAGACTGCCGGGGCATGATCTAAGCTCGTGTTGGGTAGCTATCCCGGAACTACGGCCAGAGAGAGTAACGGCAAATAAACGTCGAGAAAATCTTGTCAAGAAAACCTTGGCTGTTGATCCGGAACTAAGAGCCAAGGTGGCAGAACTTCGGAAGGCAGCCCAGAAAGATCAGGACCAACTAGATCAAGAGAAAAAGCAAGTGTCATTTAATTGACAATCAGCTAAATCAAGCTTGGATAGACGAATCGTTGGCCAGGCACTACCGCAAGGAGCCGCATTTCCAATATGCCTAGGAACCTGCCTGCAAGCTGACCAGTATCCCTTACGATCGTCAACCATTCTTGATTCTGGAGCTTCGTTAGATATATTCAACGAACTTGCTAGGTTCAAATCGATAAGAAAACCAGAATCCGGACAGGAACACTACCTGATTGCTGGTGATTCAGAGGTTAAGATCGAAGGTTATGGTCGAATCGATTTACCAGTTACAAAAACTGATGGATCAATTGGTATCCTACGAATCAAGGACGCTGCATATTGTCCTACATTTGCTGTCAACGCTGTATCATTCCAGTGCCTGTATGATCGGGGCATCCGTTGGGATACATTATCTACCCCAACACGGCTAATCCATAAATCTGGAACGCCGATATGTATGGTTGAAAGGTACTACAAACAATGGATCCTTCAGTATCGAGAAACAACAGATGTAAGCCTAAAGGCGGCAGCTGCCTACGTAGCCAAACGGAACAGACGGACCACTCGAGACCAAAGAGCAGACGCTATTGCCGACGGAACGTTGTGGCACAACCGACTAGGTCATCCAAGCCCAAAGACCCTTGAGCAGTTAGGAAAGAAATGCCTTGGAGTAAGGCTAAAAGGACCAAAAACAGCGGAATGTGACCATTGCGGCCGAGGCAAGATGCACCGGCAGATATCCCGAAGGCGGCCAATCAGACCGAGCAACCCATTTGAAGAAATCTGGGTTGATTGGACCGATCTTACGGAAGACTACCAAGGCTATGTTCGAGTTATGTTTATCACGGATGCATATTCAGGTCTTGTTTTTCCTTATTTTCTGAAGAGCCATGGTTTAGGCAAAGAAAACCGAAGAATTCTGAGAGACTTCTTCAACTGGATAGAAGTTCAGTACAGCTTCAAGCCAAAAGCCATACGATCAGACGGTGAGCTATTCAGCAAGGAAGTCCGGAAAGAACTGAAACTTCGATCCATTGAAGCAAAGAGGTCAGCCCCGAATACTCAGGCCCAGAATGGAGGCGCCGAGAGATCAGGGGGTGTTATCATGGAGAAAGCCCGTACTATGCGAATAGCAGCAAAGTTACCACATAACCTATGGAAGGATATTGTGGAGGCTGCATGTTATCTACGCAACCGCACTCCTCTTGAACGAAACAAGTGGAATAGCCCATTCGGAAGTGCTTTTAAGAAGCAACCGATACTTAGTCATTTAAAGGCTTATGGTTGTAAGGCTTTTGCAATGACTGCAGATGCCCAACTCAAGCTTCATAGAAAGCATAAGCTTGAACCGAGAGCACATGTCGGGTATCTTGTAGGCTACCAATCCTCAAATATCTACAAGATATGGGTCCCGCAAAAGAATAAGGTTATCTTAACCCGAGATGTTATCTTCAACGAATCAGCTTTCTTTGAGAACAAGATAGCTCAACCCGAACTACGACAAACCATAAGTCAGCTGCTGGAAGAAATTGAAATCCCAGAAGAACAGCAAGATATGGAGTCTATGCTCGAAGAAGAAACATTCGAATATTCTGATGAATCAGATGAAGAAGAGATTCTGGATGAAATCGTTGTGAACACAGGCACGCAGGATGAACCAGACGGGAAGGACGATGAAGATGCATGTGAAAGGTCAGAAGAGCTAGGTTATATAACGCCGCCTCTGACAGACCCGGAGCTTGAAGAGAGCCCAGAGGCAATATTCACAGCCAATCTTCCAATTCGCCACCGATCTGGCCATCCTGAGGGGGTGGATACTAAAGGCCACAACTCAAACTGCTGCGACTACAAGGTAGAGCAGGTCAGTGCCAACTATCGATTCCACGAATTCCATCCGATTCGAATTGAGACAGCAGTCCATGGTGCATTTAATGCCGGGGTTAAGTTTCAACCGCACAAGAGGAATCTACCAGAAGCTCCAAAGACCATGAAGGACCTGGAGGGCCATCCGTTCAAGGATCAATTTGTCAAGGCACAGCAAGAACACCTTGCGTCACATAGCCAGATGGATTCCTTTGTTGAGGTGCCTTGGTCACGAGCTAAAGGGCAAAGAGTCCTTAGCTGCATGTGGGTATTTACCTACAAGACGGATAAGCACGGCCATCTCCAGAAATGCAAGGCGCGGCTTGTTGTGTGCGGGAATCAGCAAGAAAAGAATGCTCTCCCGACTCGTGCAACAACGCTAGCTAGCATGTCGTTCCGAGCGCTAATGGCGATAGCCGCCGAACATGACCTTGAACTGGAACAGATGGATGCTGTCAATGCATTTGTGAACTGCGAGCTAGACGAAGTTGTCTATATGCGTATGCCACCAGGTTATGAAAAATATGGCAGGGTGCTACGTTTGAAGAAAGCACTCTATGGCCTGCGAAGGTCACCGCTGTTGTGGCAGAAGGAGTTGACAAAGAGCCTCCAAGAGTTAGGTTTTCAACCAGTTCCACAGGAGCCATGTATCATGACTAAAGGTCCTGTGATGGTATTTTTCTTTGTTGATGACATTATCTGGGCATACAGAAAAGCTGATAAAGAAATTGCCAAGGAAGCCATAGAAAGGTTGAAAAGACGATACTTAATGACACAGCTGGGCGAACCAAAGTGGTTTCTTGGAATCCACATCCTGAGAGACAGGCGGAACAGAACAATCTGGTTAACCCAAGATGCTTATATTGACAAAATAGCGCACAAGTTCTCCATTCAGCTAGAAGGCAAGGTGCCAGCAACACCTATGGGCCTAGAAGAATTACTGAAATCGGAGACACAAGCGGCAAAGAAGTCAATCGAGCTATACCAGCAAAAGGTTGGATCCATTTTGTTCGCAGCCATTTCAACAAGACCAGACATCGCATTCGCGGTCAGCCGATTAGCACGGCATAACCTGAATCCAACCGATGTACACCACAGAGCAGCGGATAGGGTGATTCAGTACCTCTATTCCACTAGATCGTTTGCCCTGCGACTTGGAAATAATGATCAACACAACACAAAACCAATAGAAACGTTCATCGGCTCGAGTGACGCATCATTCGCCGACAATACAGAAGATCGAAAAAGCTCACAAGGCTACGTACTAAAGCTGTATGGTGGGCCGATTGCATGGAAGGCATCGAAGCAGACCACCGTAACAACCTCAAGTACAGAAGCCGAGCTACTTGCAGCGTCAGAAGCAGCCAAAGAAATGATAGCTGCAGGAAGACTGCTACGATCTTTAGAAATTCAATTGGACGAGCCTTTGCAATTGGAAATTGACAATAGACAGACGATTAGGCTGTTAATTGAAGAGTCAGCAAAGTTGACCACTCAGCTTCGTCATGTCGATATTTACCAGCACTGGCTACGCCAACAAGTTCAAAATAGTCAAATTAAGGTGCGTTGGGTGGAATCGAAGGACATGGTAGCGGACGGGATGACGAAGGCGTTACCCAAGGTGCGACACATTGAATTCTTACGGCAATTGCAAATCGAAGATATTCGAAACCGCATTGGCAATGAAGCCAAGCTGGAAGAAGCTCGAAGCAAGGTGCACGAGAGATTTCAAAGCCCTGACAACAAATTAGACCTTGAAGTGAAGCTAGGTGCGAAGGGAGGCAAAAGAATGCCAAGCCCGGGAGGCCCAGCTGCTAAAACGCGCTGACACTGAAGCTTGACAGAGGCAATAAATAGTTGTAGATGAGCACTTGGGAAGAAGCTCATCTAAGGGGGTGTGTCGGATAATTCCTCTGTAGACTGAAGTCGCAGAGCTTGGAGTAATTGCTGGATGTCATATCGTCGGCTATCATGACTAAACTTAGCCGAAAGTTAGATTCGGACGAAAGGAAGTTTTTTTGGTATTAAAAGAGAGCTGCAGACGGAGTCTGCAGCACTCGCAACAACAAGAATAATGATTTTTATGAACAAGCTTAGTTAACATGAGTCTCATAACGTGACAGATGTATTATCGGTTTTCCCTGTTGCTATGTCAAAGCCATCCAACCAGCCGCACCCATGGTCATTACGATGGTGCCTGGCGAAGCCATAAGCCCAGTTCCTTCCCAGCTCCATTTTCGCTATATCCTGAGCCAAGTTCTTAATTATACTTAGGGTGGGTGGAATGCCGCGTAGTGAATGCTTATGAATATAGGCAATACGTTCTCGTTCTTGGTGTTTTGATAGCCGTGATTTATACGAAGCATCGGCATCATGTCTTGCCCGCGTTTAATTTGATGTCAGCGTCGCAACGTAGTCTCATCGCAATTGAAGCATCGTGCGACCTTTGCATAATTAATTCACTCCGACGATTTCGGAAATTTAAGCGCCTCGTCAATTGCACCATGGTTGTTGAGCTACTTGAAGTTGAAGTTGAGTGAATGAAGCGGCGTGAATCCGGCACATCATCGGATCCGGCACATCACCGTCAGATCCCTTACATTAAGTTTGCTTGTTGACTAGCAGAGGCAGTCTTATCCGACATTCTCAACCCAAATCACAGCCGATGTGTTGACATGGTGGACCGACCTGTAGAGCATGATGCCGTATTGGTGTCAGTTCCAGGCTGGTCTTCATAATAAAGAATGGTCCGCTTTGATGACGTCCTCACAACACCACCCTACGAGTAGAGCTTTGTCTGATTCACGCCGGTGCTCTGATATGTTTGCGATGACCTACAGATCTGGCGCTTGGACGGTGTGCAGTGTCTGTCCGTCGTATAAGCAGGGGCCAAGAGGAGTGGTTCCCAAAAGTGTGCCCTGGATCCATGATCAATAGATTCTTCAGTTATTCCAGCCTGGATCCTTGAGTGTGTGTTATTTTGTGCGGCGTCTATGGAGCATTTGAGGCTTACTCTCCTAACATAATACCGCCTGGAAATAAGGAAGAACGTTCTTTAATCTAAAGTCTATGTCTGTAATTTAATGCAGAATCATGCATTCATCCTACCGGAGCGTGAAAATGGCCTGTCAATCATGCAACTCGCCAATGCCAAGCATTCAATCCTGGTCTGAGATTTCATGCATTCATCCTACCGGAGCGTGAAAATGGCCTGTCAATCATGCAACTTGTCAATGCCAAGCTCTCAATCCTGGTCTGAGATTTCATGCATTCTGTCATTCTGCAAGTCACAAGGTTGAGGATACGAGACGAGATGAGACTTGGCATTAGTCGATCCAATAATTATCATGTACAGAAATATATTTACACCAATATTCGACATGCCTTGTGGTGCTGGAATTACCCGAAAGGGCTCACCAAGGGGTGAGGAGCTCTGGTAGGTATCTGTATGCATGTGTGTTAACTACGGTAACCGTTCCGTTTCTCCTAATCATCATTAAATTCAAGGCTATAGAATGACTGAGAGATATTCCTGCCTTAATTATTCTGTTCTTATAGTATCATAGTAGCCAAATTGCCATGCTGGCGTTGAAATACTTTGGACTCTTGGCAGTGTCCCAGGGAGCTTGACTCACGATAACGAAAGAGTCCATGAGTAAGGCCATAATTATATTACTGTTCCCTTGATAATTACGCAAACTTACGGTGAGCTAGGATGATGCTCATATATGAAAGAGGCACGGGTAGAAGGTCGTTCTCCTAGGATTATGACTCAATCTCCTCAATCATATAGTTGTATTCACGATCAAGCCGCGAGTTGAGCCAATAGTTACTTGTTTCTACTAAATAGCATGGTGGTTGACCCATAGGCTCCTAATTCAAACGGCGCACAACTTAGACACCCTGACGAATGGCATTGAGTGATGGTCGTGCACGGGATGTAATGAGCAGGACTCACTTTAATATTTGTAGGCTCAAGCAAACCCATAAATTCACTCTCGTCCGCAGAGTCGAAACTTAGCACCACGCAAACCTCAGGCCACTATCACCGCTAAATCCGTTTCTTCGCCGTTTGGATCCCTCATCACTTTGAATAGCCACCATGGCACGAAAAGTCCGGCCCATCGCCTTCATTACGCTTGCAGTAAGCCTGTGCTCTACAATATATGCGAAGCCCGTTGAAATCTTGTCGAGGAACGTCTCAAATAATCTCCGAGGCCCAGAGGATCAGCCGGGTCTCATCGATACCAACACTCTAGGAAGTCTAGACAAGCCAACTCTTAGCCCAAGACAGGATTTCCCTCCCCCGCAGATACTGCCACCACCCCAAATTGTGTATCGCGGCGACAAGAGATCGCCCGACGAGATCAGGGCTACCGGTGGCTTTTTGCCAAGCTCCGACCTTGCGCCAACTGATGAGAACAATGGATTCAGTCTTTATATGCACCACACATCCGCAAGAATAAACAATAAAAGAGTTACCTCGTATGTGTCTACAACCAGGTACTTTGGTACAGGGCTTGCATATGCGAATCAGGCGAGCAGAGAGGGTGGATGGCTCTACCAAATTCAAGCCTTGCCACATATGGTTGACTCCGATGGGACTCTGTTGCAGGGGCGGAAATACCGCAATGAGTATGAGTTTTCAGCCTTGGGAGGCATACGCTGGGATCAAGTCAAGGCTGCGGTCCAGGTTCCGGGTGCGAAAACCTCCACAGACTACAAGTCCGGTTCTAAAACATGGACTTTTGTGACCATGGAAGACTTTAATAAGACGTTCCCTGAAAAGCAATGGGTTGTCAATACAGAGTATAACTCGAGCTATGATCAGTTCGAAGCGAGCCCCGGGCAGCCCCAGCTGGCTGGATGGTTCCAATACGACTATGACGAAGACAAATACAAGTCTAAGGAGCCTTGGAGTCAGTATCAGGCGCAGACAGTCAGGCAATATTTCATAGACTTCATGAATCAGGTGGGCGGGCCGGTGGGGTGGACTGGCACGTATCCGTTGGTTCTCTCCGAGGACAAATGGATGGACAGGGCGAGACTTTAGGCATGGTACTCGTTGTAAGCGGCGAGTTGGAGACGGGTTGCCATTCTAAGAATTGCGATTAAAAAATAATAGCAAGGCCAGGTCGGTAGTTCAAAGGAAGCACGATATAACTTTTACACCCCCGGGACATAGCAATCACAATGCTATTTGTTTATAGACGGCGAGATCCCACAAGGTTTAGCTTTATACGATTATACTCTTTCCTGTAAAATAAAATTAGTGTTCATTACCACCCATTTTTCTCAAGTCACGGTCGTGATAATGGGCTCGAAGCGTCGGGTCTGCCTCACTTTTCTATTCTTGTAGTTGCACTTTCTATGGTTAGGGTAACACTAGTCCGAATTTCGGACTCGAGGTCTCGCGATGAACATGACAAGAGGAGTCCAAGGTGTCATGGCAAAACGATCAGGAAAAACACCCTCAGCCTTCGCGATTCTAGGGGAGCGCTGTTGTTGTCACATTATGAGATTCATTGTTAACTAAGCTTCTTCGTAAAATCATTATTCTCGTTCTTGTTCCCCGTCCTAAACCCTAGAAACTGAGAGCAACAACCGTATTGTCAACATTTCGATCTCAATTCCCAACTCAGCTACATTCTATTGGAAGACTATTAATACACAGAATGAGGAACATACAGCCCTGAATACCATTCACCTAATCCAGCCACTCTTACAAGAGGTATTCACGAAGGAAGGGGATGATTTTCAGGATTTCTCTCGCATGAATGCTATCTGCACAGATACATGCTCGACAATGCGGAAACTCCACGCTGAGATGAAGAATATGCCTGAGTTCAGGCATTGTTTCTTCATTTTGTGTGATTCCCATGGCCTTCAACTTTTGGTGAAAGATATTGTGGTCCCAAGGGCAATGTTACGGATCCCGGGTCTATGCTCACAGCTGCCACTGAAGTGACCAAGATCATGGCGGCGCGATTGACGTACTGATCCACAACGCCAATGCGTTCGACCAAAGCTACACACTCCTACAGTCCTTCTCAAGTACCGCTGGATATCAAAGCCACGGAGGACTTTTTGATGCTTCAATTCGTACTGCTATATACGGAAACCTCTGGTCCACCAACGCCTTTCTCCCTTTGATCGAGACGGGGACCGAGAAGAAAGTGGTGCATATCTCCACTATCATAGCCGACCTCGATTTCATAAAGAGTTCTGGTATTGAAAACGCCCTAGTATACGCAGTCGCCAAGGCTGGGATGAATGTCCAAGTGACCAAGTACGCTGTTGAACTTGCGCCGAGGGGCATCAAAGTCTTGGCGCTGAGTCCCGGCTGGGTCGATACTTTTGAAGGAGGTAAGAACTCCTGGTCTTATTCCTATGGCTGCCGGGAGTGGCTTAACCGTAAATAACGCATCTATTAGCAGGTCCGAAGCCGCCCCAGCTTATCGAAGCCATCGACAAAATGCGGGAGCAATTAAAGAAGCTCCCTCACCCTCTTGAGGGGCCGATGGATGTTGAAGAGAGCGTGAAGATGCAGCTTAATGTCATTGAATCTTTGGATTTACACACTAGTGGTTCCTTCTTGAGCCATCTCGGGGCCAAGTACTAGTGCGGGTGGTCGTGTTGCGATAGAATCTGTTAGTAAGTTGAAAGGCAGTCTAGGTTGTATAGCCTGCTGTAGGTTCTCGACGATCATGGGATCATGGACTACAAAACAGGAAAGGTTGGTCACCCACCCTCATGATTTCAAGCGTCTGGGAAGTGAATATAGAAGACTTTGAGTCCAAAAGCTAGATAATGGACAGGCAATAAAGAATACATCAAATTATTATTACATTTGTAAAGGAATCATGTGACCCGCCTGTTAAACGAATGTCTCACTTTACCATGTAAATAGCTGTAGTCAGAGTTCTCCTCTCAAGTTCTATTTTCCTCCATGTAGAAAAGACTGAGCAGTAAGAAATGCAATGGACTGACGCAGCTGCCATAACACTACCAAATGTAGGTCTCACAACCGGCCCCTGAGAGTCGACTATGTTGTCACTTATAAGAGTCATTGTAATGCTATGAGACTCATTGTTAACTAAGCTTCTTCACAACGCCATTATTGTTGTTCTTGTCGTTGTTTCCGCCGCAGACTGTGTCTGTGTCCATCTTTTAAATACCAAGAAACTTCCTTTCGTCCGAATCTAACTTTCAGCTCAGTTTAGTCATGGCAGCCGACACTATGACAACAACCACCAGCAATTACACCAAGCTCTGCGACTTCAGTTTACAGAGGCATTATCCGACAATAGTGGAGTTCTTAGATATCTATTAAACTAAAATTTTGCTCCCAACCCGCGCGGCTGGAAGGTTCATTCGTTTAGTGCAAAGATGAGAGCGCATAATGCAATTTTGTTGAGGCGACTGGGCTATTAGATAAGCTTCGTGTAAGCAAAGTTATCTGCCGAGACAATGCAGAAAAATAAATTACCCTTGCCACCTAGTAGGTCTGATTACATTGATCCAATCGGATCTTGCCAAGCCGCAGTTGTAACGGTCCAAGCTGAGTATATTAACAACTAGCTAGGCGACTACTACGAGTATCTAAACGTTAAAGAAGAAAGAGAAACAGAACAAGCAAAGGAGAGCTCAAGGAGCTCGACGCGTCGTTAATCTCGCTTGTCGGTGGGTCCCGGCCGGTAGGCCGGGGCCGAAGGCGAGAGTGCAAACCGAGCCGCACCGGGCTCGGCCCGTTACATCAGTTGCCTATTATGCATGAGCCTATCCTCTTCAAACTGTTTTTTGTATCTTGGCTATTTGTAAGGGAACGGCCCCACTTTAGGACATAGCTAGCTCGAGTCAGAGCTTCCTTCGGAAGCTCTTACTCTCCTTGTGAACAATCGCTTTATCCAAGTCGCACTTGACCTTGCTCGTGCCCTTGTACCGTCACATATTGTTCACCCGTACCTCGATATGGTAGATCACCGTCCTCGACGTGAATATCGCCAATCCCGTCACCCCAAAGCCTCACCCCACCGAGCGCAGAGTTTTTTCACCCCTTTCCCACCAAAACCAACAAACCGAACAAACGAACCCAAATGACCCAAACCTAGCGTTGAAGCGGAAGCGAGGTAGGCCATGCAAATATGGGCCAGCCTCACCAAGCTCCTCACCATCTTTACGATCCGACGGTCCGATAAAGGGCTCTGATGCGTCGCTGGCTGACACCTCACCTTGGAAAGATGCCAGCTTAACGACCATCGACCTATTACAGGCCGAGCTCCTGCATCAGTTCATAACAATAACTGGCCCCGGTATTGCTGCAGGCTCGGATGACCCAGGCCACGCCATGGGCCAGTTTTGGGCTCAAATTGCCCCCGGAATTGGTTTCTCCAACCCCCATGTCTTGCATCTTGCCTACTCGTTGGCTGGATACCATTTGGCGCGGGGAGATTCCTGGGATAGAAACGCGCAAGCACATCGCTTGGCTGTTGCTAAATTAAACTTCACTGCCGGACTTGCTGAACTTAACAAGGCAATTTCGGTCATGGACAATGGAACTTGCGGCGCGATATATATATCCGTAATGCTCTTATGCTTTTGCACCTTTGCAGCTGGCCCTGTTGGACGCAATGACCTGCTTGTCTGCCAAGTTGGTGTCGCACGGCCAAACCCATCAGTACCTCTTGCGCGAGGAGCCCACCTTGTTCGGCAACGTTTTGATTCGGCCACTCTATTCTCGGGGCTGATGGCACCACTCGCTCCGACGAACAGCCAGCCCGCTGATAGCAGGGCAACCTGTCATCGACAATGTTTTGTGCGGGTCGATTGGATTGATCAATTATCGAGGCTGCGCGAGTTGATCGTCTCCAGCGACACCAGAGAAGTTTCGGTTGCTATTCGGTCATTCGATACATTGCGAGCAATATACGAAGCAACATACGGCGATAGGGATGGCTTATATGAAGGACCACCAATGCATGGCATGGTGTTGCGCTGGTTGTATGTCATGGAAGATGACTTTGTGGCAAGTCTTCAAAGCAAGGATGCCATGGCTCTGTTGATTCTGGCATACTTTGCTCCTCTACTCAACACCATGAGCAAAGCGTGGTTCTTGAAAGGTTGGGCCGAACATCTGCTTACTAGTATACGGATATTCATCGACAAGGAGTATGTTGAGTGGTTAGAGTGGCCTATGGGTGTTGCTGAACAATACAGCGAGCATATCTGTTGACGAATAGCTAGGTTTCGGAAGAAACACAGGCCACACTGCATTTTTATTAGGCGCGGGTATATCACTACTTTTCGTAAATATTTCCTTGCATGTGCCTTCGTCCCCTGGTCCCTCTTCCTAGTTACACTGTGATCCTATAACCCGCGATTAAATACTAGGAAAAGTCCTGTAATTAGTATACCTTCAATGTTTACCCGCTTAGCGCTAGTTATGCTCTTCAAGGATTGACTAGAGGCAGCGATTCAACAGGGACAGTTGCTACAGGGAGGGATGCATTATTTATGATTCCGCAACCTTCAACCTCCAATGTAACATTGCGTATGCCGAGACCTGAATCACCAGCAGCTGCAGGATCACAAGGTGTAGAGATGCCCAGCATCTCAATCTTGTCGCCCGCTACTCCAAAATGCAATGCCTTGACGGGCTGGCATTACTGCGCAAAATTGAGCCGCCAATGCTGCCTGATCCAGAATTAATTACCCCCTGCCGCCTCATTATCTTGTCAGGCAGCCTCACAGGCCGCTATATATCTGGGTACGTATGCCTGAAAGCCAAGACTCAAGACTCAAGCCAGCGTGCGGGACCGCGAGTTTGATTGGAGCTCTGGTGGAGGGTCGACTGCAATGGTTGAGGCCGTGTGGCCATTTTGAGGCTTACGAGTGATGACTCTGATGACTCTGATGAGGCTATTGGTCCTCGCCGACAAAAAAAAGGTGACTTGTGCGACCCTGTTTTCGCCAGTGCTGCATGTCGTCATATATCTAATCCCATCTCCTCACAACTTCATCCAACAACCATCATCAGCTTCTGCAGCCTGCTCAAATTTCGTCTCCCCAAGTCAATAATTTCCAAGTCGTGCTTCCCTACCCCCATGGCCTCGTGTTTTGCCGACACGGAATACGTTGGCGAGCACTCTGTCGAGAGCAGTATACGGGAAATGTCGACTTCAAACCTCCTCTCAAGGCAGGGGCTAAGACTATTAGATGGCGGATGCTTGCACGGGCAAGACTTGTGGTCGGAATGGGAAGGCAAGTACTTTACAACCCCAACTCCCCTTATGGGGCTTGTGACAAGGGCTTTTGTGTAAGGGCTTGGAACAATATTGCATTCAACTAATAATTCGCTTTGGCATTGAAGGACCTTGGTTTTACTCAAGGCCCCAAGGGCGGATAACCCTTATTTATATCAAACAGCGGTGAGTAAGCGAGCCTGGAGGCCTGAGGCTTCAACTAGGTATCGAGCCCTTGTGTAACTATCGTCATGTTCAAGGTCCGGCCCGTGACGTCCGTGTAACAGACTGGACAGAGTTGATGCAGAAATATTGGGTCAGGGCATCACGGTCGTGTGAAGTTAGCCAAAATGAGCCGCGAGGGCGGTACCGGAATTTAAGTCAAGAAATGACTCTAGAGGAAGACATCAATATGTCGGATAACACTGCCTCTGTTGATTGAAACACGCAAGCATTTTGCCACCAGGGTGGCAAGTGGCAACAGTAGTCGTCATACTGCTGCCTGGAGCCAGCAGTATTCCGAAAGTATTAAATATCTTAAGTTTCTAGGGTTTAGGAGAGGGGAGAACAAGAACAAGAATAAGAACAACAATTTTTGTAAAAGAAGCTTAGTTAACAATGAGTCTCATAACTCGACACAATACAGACGCCTGTACTCTGCCAGGAACTAAATTCAGTCTAGCTGATGGCCCCTTGTTCACCTGCCGGGCGCAACGTCTCCGGCGAGATATTGAGGCGCAAGTTGGTACCATTGATGATTCTTCTATTGATCAAATCCACAACGTGTTCATTTATGCCGCCTACGCGAGATGACGACGTTCCGTGCTGCAACTTGGTTAGTCCGCTGGGCCAGCAAGTATCGCACTGGGAAGCGCAAGAAAAGCTGGTGTATATTTGCGACATCAAGGATCGGCTTGGGCGACGTGTCAGGCCTGTGCGGTACGTAGTCCTCACGTGTGTTTTAGTTTGCGTCTCTGTTGCCCGATGGTGTTTTAAATCGCTGCAAAACAGGAACAACCAAACCAAGGGGACAGTTCTATCGATGCCATTTACGATGCCTACCAGACACGTACAGCCCAAATAGTCAATTATGGAACGTAACATTCCAACAGTAAATGTTGTGCCTTGGTTACATTAGCGAGCTCTTCGTGTAAATCGTCCTCCATATGGCTGTCGACCGCTAGATGTCGCTCGGGCGGGAGGCTTGATGCGTACTTTACATGGCTGCGATATATTCCACCGAGGGTGACATGCAGGTGGTGTAATGGGCACGGGATTTATCAAGCCAGAGAATCGATTGCATTGAAAGAAATAAGAAGTGAGATCTGTGCGAGAGCTGGCTAGTGGTTACTTTTTCAACGGTCAGGGGTTTGTCTATAGCGAGGCTTTCATTTGGTGGCGTTATCCGACAAATTCAAGTACGAGTTGAGCACAGGCTATACCAGTTGACCAATCATAAGAGGTTTTATGCTCTGCTTCCTGACTGAATAAACGCCCTTCGGGCTGAATTAAAGCATACTTACGAGCGTGTTTATTCCCTCTCAATGATATAAGGGCGTCGTGTTTAATATAGCAAGCTAGATAGAAGACTACTGGATTGAGCTGCGCCCAACTTGGGGTAGCATCATGCCAATGTTAATCCCCAGGTACAGTAATGTAAGTACCACATCCTTCGCAGATTTGCTAATGGGCGGTTCTGTTATTGTAATTAAGGACGATGAGCTGTATATGACGGAGGATCCATACGTCCCGACGTCATAATATGATGCAAAGAGGGACGAGGACAAGGAATGCGATGCCGTAAATAGCGATAATTCCAACCATTTTACGGAAGTGACGTGATCAGAAAAGCAAGATAGGATGGTCTAACGATCATTAGCAGGGCAACCTATCGGCGCTAGTCTGTATTGTTAAGGCTTAAATAGGAGTTGTATTATTCGTATTAAGCCTCGCTCTTTTACCTGGGCTTCCATTTGAAGTTGTCTGACAAACAAAGCCGTAGTCTCTAGCTGGAGCGGTGGCTTCCTCTCCATTGTCTAACGTTGATGACCCATTTATACTCGTCAGAGACTGTTATGGAAGCTTGAGTGTGCTAAGGTAATCTTGTCTGGCTACAGGCTTGAACTCATGGATTTAGTTGCCATTTGGGTTGAGGCGAAGACGAATAAGGTAAAACTTGATAGGCCATTCAATTGAACAAACTATAGAGGCATTTGAGAAACAGTGCGTATTCGGTGTTAAAAAAGACGTAAATACCACTGCGTCTCGGTACGCATCTTGACATCCGGACGGGAAGGCATCAGTCTATGACCGCTGAAGGCATCATGGGACTGTTCCATGAACTGAAATAGCATGATTTCTCAGATGCATCTTATGTGCGAGAGTCATGTTGCAGACTTGACACACCGGCCGTTCGTTGTCTCCCAATTGCGAGAGATGTCTCCGACGAAAGTGTTTGCTCAAATCACCAGAGGTGTAAAACTCCTGGATCTTGTCCTCCACACGAGGGTCATCCGGCGGCAATGAAAGCGCAGCGCCAACGCACAGGAAACATCTTCTTGGCCTTTGACTGGGATGCTCAATGAAAACAGACATAGTAGCTAGGAATAGAGCGCCATCTTCCGACGGCTCACGAGGTTCATTACGCGAGCCCGTTGGCGTAGGCTGCAGATAACTACGGCGAACGGTCGCCCCTTCCTCGACGCTGCAATATGCGGTTATGGCATCAATCGCCTTATCCCTTCGATTGTACTGCCCCTCAAGAGTATCCCCGACCGGACGTATAAGCGCCTCCATCAGCAACTTCTGAGCCGGTCGCTGAGGACGTATTGTATGATCCACCACTGGTTCGGCAAAGCCTTTACCTTGGAGTTGACGTTCGATATCGTCCACGGCTTGTTCGTCCGTCCAGTCGTCTCGGATTTTCTGTTTTAATTCCCTTTTTAACTTCTGTTTTAATGATCGTAACGCGCGGTGGGTCTTCTTGTGCTCTTCGGACCCTGGGCGCAATTTTCGTAGTTGGATTGTGAGCCGTCGAACATGAGAATCTGACGCGACAGACGCTGTTTGCTCAGCCGTGAGGCCTGTTGGCCGTCGTTTGCTCACAGAGTGTCCAATGCTGCAAGCTTGGTCAATAAGTGCCTGCTGTGGTTTTTCGCGACGGATAATAGCCCATGGGTCCGCACGGACAATGCGACCAAGGTAATGTTTCTGGAAAGGGACGGAGTTGGCGTGGTCAAGAGACAAGTTCCGAAGTGCCTCGCTCATGTCGGCTGTTGCAACAACGTTAAAAAACAGTTTTCTTACGTTGATTCTTAGATACTTACGACTTTGGTCAAACTCATTGGCTGCATTATAGCGCAGACTGTAAGGTATTGTTTCATACTGAAGTCCCATGATCTCACCCACTCTTTTGATCCAGCCGGCAATCATGCCTTTAGTGATGGTCTTTGTTGACATCTCGTACCCTGTCAATGTTTTAACAGCGCGACGGAATATGCACACCTCCTTTAGGTCACTTCTTAGAGGCAAAGGTAGTTCACGCTCGCCTGGATGTATGTCCAACTCATCTAATTGCCTAGGAGAGGTGAGCTGACATGCGCGGAATGCTTGGTGACGAAATAAAATGCCCAGCAGAAAGGCGTGGGGACTAAGGAGCAAAGATGGATCGAACATCATCTCAGGGATGGTAAATGTTTTGCTGGTAGTGTATTAGCAGAGAGAATATTAGCAAGCAACGCGGAGACAGCAGAAATAGTACACTTACGCATCCTTAGTACCGAGGTATGACTTTGTGAACTCCAACGTGAACCGAATTAAGATATTGTGCGGTCCACCTTCCGGATTTCTCGCCAAAGCCACTCGGATGTCCCCAAAGCGAAGCCGTAGAATGGAGGTAGGGCGAGAGCCTGCGGGGGCCAATAGGAGGAGAAAAAGCACAGCCAGAATCCGGTGCTCTCCTAGATCAAACGATTTCTTTGTGGTGCTAAGCGTCGTCTCGATCTGTTCCTTCAAATCGTTGATAGTCATGCAGCGATTAGCTCTTTTCTGGTCGCTTAGTCCGTGTTTTTTCGCAAGCTCTCGGAGGACCTAGAAAACGTTACAACCCACACATCTTGTTGGTTATCGAGAGCAACATACCTTGTGCATATTGCGATTCAATTTTGGATCGAGCTTCGTACCAATAGCCCTCTCATATATGAGTCGGAAGACCTTCCAGGCTGTGCCCAACGAGGAGCTCTTTGTAGTGCCTCTCAATTTTCTACCGTCCTTGCCCGCCTTCTGGTTCAACCGCCATTCAAAGAATTTATAGAGGATACCTATAGAGATCGACTCGAAGCACGCCTGAGGGTTACGCGAGAGAACCTCATTGCAAAATCTGCGGGTAGACAATTAAAACGTTGAGCCTGGATGCGGCGGGAAAGTGAGGCGACTTACTGCTGCCACTGCAGCTCTATAGCGTCGAAAAGTATTGTACTCCCTGGGCTGTAATCCTCACCAATAAAGGTGCTTTCATTGAATTCTTCTATGCCTCGCCGGTAATATTCGGGTGGATGTGTATTTCCACCAAAGAGTTGAATTTGGTCTTCAACGTCCAGATCATCATTTTCCAATACGTCAAGGTCCGTTGCCTCCGTTGCCTCCGTTTCGTCACCAGACAGATCCGCTTCATGTTCGTCAAAGCAGCTCCCAATCTCTGGTGAAAAAGAGGAATCAGATTCGTCTGCATCAGGTGAGCGTCGCTGGCGTGCCATGGTGGATGAAGTTGTTAGGCTGTGATCTAGACTTGCTGCAGCCCGCGGCTCGTGGAGTTTGAGGTAATTTGGAAAGGTAGTGTAGGCTTGTGGAGGGAACAAAGAGATGGCCCTGCCGCCTCAGCCGCGAGCGCGGGCTTTTAAACGTGGCTGTAGAGACCATCTTTAAGTTCTTGAAAAAGGCAGCGAGTGGGCAAAAAAGTGTTTCTTGGAACTTTGGTTGAAAGTTCTAATAAATTGACCAACACACTTAGCCGCCCGTGTCCTAAATGCTGTCCAATGAGGAGTGAGTACCATATGGTACCTCGCTGAACATTGACAGATACGGTCAGCCAACGGGGCCAAGTTGCATGGCTTAAAGCGGCGTTGGATCCTTGGCAAATTGCCCGCCTGTTTCCGCGTCAGAAACCACCAAAATCGGTGGTGAATTCGCCGTCTTTTTCTTAAAGCTAGTAAAATAAATTTTAAATATAAAAATAAAAAATAAAATATATTAATATTTTATTAAATAAAAAAGCTATAAAAATAAGAAAAATATATAAAAACCTATAAAATACTTAAAGAATTACTAGTACTTATTATAATAGTATTACTAATAGTATTTAATAAGGTATTTCTAAATATAATATTCTAATTTAATACGTTAATAATACCTAAAAATTATATATTAATAATAGCCTTAAATTTATAATATTTTTTTTTCTTTAACTTATTTAATAATTATAAACCTAAGTAAATTATTTATTAACCTTTAGTAATTAACTACTACTTTTAATAGTATAATTACGCTAAATAGGCTAATACTTTATTTAACTTAGCTTAAGCCTTAAGTATTTACTTTTTTACTTTTTTTTTTTTTTAATTTAAATATTTTAATTTAAAAATAATATAATTAACTATAAAAACACTTATTAATAAAAAATAATAATATATAAAAAAATACTTATATAAGCTAATTATAATACTAAAAGTATTATAAAAATACTTTTATTATATATATTTCTTATACTTAAAGGAATACTTAATTATTTTATAATAAAAACTATAAGTAAAATAAAAGGAATATAATATAATATTATAACTAAATAATTTAATAGAATTAGTTAAGTAATTATTTTATAAGGTAAAAGGAGCCTTTAATAAGGGATCTTTTTGCTTTTAAGTATAAGGGATAATAGTATGACTAGATATAGCGTTAAAAGGACATCATAAAAGATAAAAAGAAAGAAGAACTTACTAATAAAAGAAAAGAGTAAAAGAACTACTTATAAAATAAGGCCTAGGTCTTAAGGATAAGACTATAGGAGAGGGGATATTATGTTATAACCTAGTATATAAGCTATAGGTTAGGCCAGCTATATGGAGCTGCTAGGCAGCATAGGCATAATAGCCATAGAATATTAGTTAGTATAATAAGATTAATAAGGAGGATACTTAATTATTATAAGTAAGTATATATAATACTTATTAGTATTTAAAAGTAAGTATTAAGGATACTTACCTTTATAATAACTAGTAATTATAATATATAAAGACCCCTAAATTTACTTTATAAATAGACTTTAGCTTCTTAGCTTTTAATATAAATTATTATATTAACTAAGCTTTACTTATAACTCTCTGACTTTAATTACTTAGTTATGGTCTATAACCTATTACTAATGTAATACTTAACTGCTTAAATTAACTGCCCTAGTTGTTCTGCTAATATAAACTATAACTAGTTTATCCCTTAGGAACCTAAGCCGTTACATTAAGCTAGTATTATTAAGAAATTTATATATTTATATAATTATTTTTATATTTAATTAAGGATATTCCTTTTTATATATTTATACTTAAAATATATTATAAGACTTAATAATAGGACTACTAGCCTAAAATTAAGGCGTAGTGGGGATCCTGCGCACCTAACAAAAAGTCGCTGCGCCCCGAGCAATTCACCCTGGCGTCGCCTCGGCTGCCCCGTGAAATTCTCTACTCCCACCGCCACTGTATGTATTTATTAACTTCTTCTCTACGTCAACTTCTCTTTGGATTGATGGAAGAAGGAAGATCTGGAGCGCAGTCATCCCTTTCTCTTTATTTCGCCTGTCGGCCTTTAAGTAGTCTGGCTTTCCGGTCCCTTCACTATTTTTCGACCACTGTCGCTCCTATCAGCTGCGCTTGGCCATATCCACCAAGACATGGCTAGTCAGTCGTCAAGTCTCTCGCAAGTTGTCACCATGGCTCCTCCGCTGGCAAATTTGCACCTCGATGTTGAGGCTATTTCAGGAATTTGCGGGTGAGTCCAACATCCACAATACGCTCCGAATACGACATTCCATCTTTGCATTCGCTTGTTAAGTAAAGCTATTAATAATACCTTTTTTTTAGGATATAATTTATAATATTTATAATAAATTTAACTTAAATAATAAAATTAGCTTTTTTAAGGTAATTAATATAATTATATAAAATAATTTCTTTTTTTTATAAAAGCTTTATATTAATTATTAAATAGTTTTTTTTAATAAAAATAT